ACTTTAAAAAAAATACAGTAAATATTACATTTACAAGTACTGATTGACACATCTCATGAAGTTATTTGTATATTGTTGCAGTGAGTTGTTAGTCAGTTGCTTTGAACCGTTGATAAGTCACATTGAACTGTTGCTCGCTAGCGCTGAACTGTTGGCCAGTTGCAATGAGCGGTTGGTAAATTGCACTGAACTGTCGTTGAGATGAAGTGAGCTTTAATTAGCTGCAGTGAGCTTTGGTCAGCTGCAGTGAACTGAATGTCAGTTGCAGTAAGTGTCTGATAAATTGCACTGAACTGTTGTTAATTTGTAGTGAGCTGCTGGTCAGTTGCAGTGAGCTTTTTTCAGTTACTAAGAACTGTTTGGCAGCTGCAGTGAACGTTTGGTAAATTGCAATGAACTGTTGTTCAGTTGCAGTGGGTTTTTGTTGAGTTGTAGTGAGCTGTTTTTTAATTGTTGTGCGCCGTTGATCAAATGTAGTAAACTGTTTGTTGCTCAGTCACACTGAACTCTGCCTTTGTCCAAATGAACTGTTGGTCATTTGCCCACTGAACTGTCGCTCACTAACATTGAACTGTTATTTGAGTTGTAGAGAGCTGTCCACTGCAATGAAATGTTGTTCAGTTGCACTGACCTGTTGGTCAGGTATGTGAGTTTGTGTATTCAGTTTTGACAGGCACTTTTCTGGTTTGACCTTTCTTAGCCTTTAATTGCTCCTCGTTTAATTACAATGCAGCAGGTTATTACAAAGCACGAGCCTCGTAGCTTTATAAATCCCTAAAAGAATTGTACTGTGAAACAAACGGGTAGTTCATAAACGTCAGTCAATATGTATGTTTGGCGGTCTTATCATTTCATTCTTTTTTCTTTACCTTCTATTTCCCTCATGATCGTTGGGTGACAATGGATCTGTTTTGCAACCCCCCCATCCCCAACAAACCATCTTTATCCGAACCTCACCTGGTTCGCTAGCGTAGTTGGCTAAACCGGATTGCGCGGTGACCGGGTGAGGAACTCCTTGTGGTCTGGGTTCACGCCCGGAGGTTGGCAGAAAAGCCACATTTCTCCCAGATTTACGGTATTTATCATGGAATCAAGGTCAAAGGGTTGCGATATACATAATACTGAGCCTAGGGAATAGGCTTCTGGATACTTTTTAAAAATCCGAACCTCAAAAAATGGCGTCATTTCATTCTCTTTCTCTTACCTTCTATTTCCCTCATGATCGTTGGGTGGCAATAGATCTGTTTCGCCCCCCCCCCCCCAACAAACCATCTTCATCCGAACCTCAACAAATGGCGTTGAAAAACTCACACGGGATAACAGTGTACGAGTTGGCTATCCACAAGCCGCTAATCTCTCCGAGTTGATACTTTCCAGTTACATTAGAATTTCGCAGTGTGCGGTTGTAGAAGGAAACACTTGGGAGCATTCGTGATAGGAGCTCACGTGCTAGCACGGAAAGTGTGGGGAGGATGGATGTGAATCCTACAGGGTCCTTCACTTGGAGACCAGACACTCGGTGGATGGGCCATCTCGAGATGTAAGAGCTTTCGCGTCGAATAGTCGATGTCATAGCAAATAGTCTAAAAAGCGGACGTGGTTGTAAACGTACAGTAAGTTTATGTAAAGGACTTAACATATTAGGAACCCTTGGGACTAGAAACATATTTACTTAAGGAAAAAAAACCGATGTATTAAATTAAACAGAAATACAGAAGAACACACACAATTGTTTAAGGGAAGGGTAGGGATTGGAAGGGGGTTCTTCTCTTTTATTACTCTGTATCTAGTGGACTCAGAATTTTCGTATAGCATACCCGGGAAAGTCCAATACTATTGGGGTATTAAGGTGCGAAATGAACACCGACCAACATTAACACTAACCCTCTATAATAATGGACTTTCCCGAGCATTTTCTACGAAATCTCAAGAGTCGCTGAAATAAGTTAAAATAAATAAAAGAACCGGGAGGGGAGCAATAGAGATTAACATCTAGGTTCATGTGCCTATGTAAAGAGATCCTTGTCGACTGCATGGAAGGAAATGTGCTGAAGTCGAGTCGATTGCAGCTCAATGATCTCCCTTTAATTACGGTAGACCAGATTGGGGAAAACCATGTTAATGTTATTTTGTTGCAGTTTAGATCACTGAGTTGTCGAATTATGTGACGGAAATCATTCACTCAGACAACCAAAACAATCACACATTTACTGCAGATTCGATTGTTTCTTCCCTTTTAGTGATTCTGGCTTTCTGCATGCTGGGTTGTACCGCAGTGTAGTATTGATTTCAATCATACTGGTTTCAGGAAAAGTTCATTTCGCTGACTAAATTCGTGCAGTCTAATTTTACTGCAGTAATTATTACATTTATAAATACTGATTGACACATCTCATGAAGTTATTTGTATATTGTTGCAGTGAGTTGTTAGTCAGTTGCTTTGAGCCGTTGATAAGTCACATTGAACTGTTGCTCGCTAACGCTGAACTGTTGGCCAGTTGCAATGAGCGGTTGGTAAATTGCACTGAACTGTCGTTGAGATGCAGTGAGCTTTAATTAGCTGCAGTGAGCTTTGGTCAGCTGCAGTGAACTGTGTGTCAGTTGCAGTAAGTGTCTGATAAATTGCACTGAACTGTTGTTAATTTGTAGTGAGCTGCTGGTCAGTTGCAGTGAGCTTTTTTCAGTTACTAAGAACTGTTTGGCAGCTGCAGTGAACGTTTGGTAAATCGCCCTGAAATGTTGTTCAGTTGCAGTGGGTTATTGTTGAGTTGTAGTGAGCTGTTTTTCAATTGCTGTGCGCTGTTGATCAAATGTAGTGAACTGTTGCGCAGTCACACTGAACTCTGCCTTTGCCCAAATAAACTGATGGTCATTTGTTCACTGAACTGTTGCTAACTAACATTGTACTGTTAACTCAAGTTGTAGAGAGCTGTCCACTGCAATGAAATGTTGTTTAGTTGCACTGACCTATTGGTCAGGTATGTGAGTTTATGTATTCAGTTTTGACAGGCACTTTTCTGGTTTGACCTTTCTTAGCCTTTAATTGCCTCTCGTCTAATTACAATGCAGCAGGTTATTACAAAGCACGAGCCTCGTAGCTTTATAAATCCTTATAAGATTGCTACTTGTGAAACAAACGGACAGTTCGTCAACGTCAGGCAATATGTGTGTTTGGAGGTCTTATTAATTCATTCTCTTACCTTTACCTTCTATTTCCCTCATGATCGTTGGGTGACAATGGATCTGTTTCGCAACCCCCCCCCCCCCAACCCAACAAATCATCTTCATCCGAGCCTCGCCCGGTTCGCTAGCGTAGTTGGCTAAACCGGATTGCGCGGTGAGCGGGTGACGAACTCCTTGTGGTCCGGGTTCACGCCCGGGGGTTGGCAGAAAAGCAACATTTCTCCCAGATTTACGGTATTTATCATGAAATCAAGGTCGAAGGGTTGCAATATCCATAATACTGAGCCTAAGGGTTAAAAACTCATGGCTTCTGGATACTTTAAAAAAAATCCCAACCTCAAAAAATTGCGTTGAGAAACTCACACGGGATAATAGTGTACTAGTTGGCTATTCACAGGCTTGCTAATCTCTCCGAGTTGGTACTTTCCCGCTACATTAGAATTTCGCAGTGTACGGTTGTAGAATGAAACACTTGGGAGCACTAGAGATGGGAGCTCACGTGCTAGCACGGAAAGTGTGGGGAGGATGGATGTGAATCCTACAGGGTCCTTCACTTGGAGACCAGACACTCGGTTGATGTACCATTTTGAGATGTAAGAGCTTTCGCCTCGAATATGCGATGTCATAGCAAATAGGTTAAAAAGCGGACGTGGTTGTAAACGTACAGTAAGTTAATGTAAAGGACTTAACAGATTAGGAACCCTTGGGACTAGAAACAGGGCATCACAATTCTGAGGGTAGAAAAATTTTGAGGGCGGAAAACATAATGCTAATAGTAGAAATATGTAAATATTTGTATTGCTCTTATCATTATGAAACCCGCATTAAATTAGCATTATGGTACTGAAACATGGTGGTACTATTAGTGCACCAGTTTACCTTGAAGTGGCTGTATCTATATAACTACTGAGCTGCGTGGATAGCTCTCCTAAATCTCCCCCTTCAGGAGCAGCGAAACGGATAGCTCTCCACACGGCCGATAGCAGTAGAACATAAGGATTTTGGTACCGGGTTGCAGTCAGGCGTGCTTTGTTCTTATTTTTACAACTTTATATAGGCGTTTTATCATTCCATGCTGTCCTTAACTTAAGAATTAAGGTGATTTTATATAGGTATTTTTAATTCTTCACTGAATCTATTTTTGTATTTTTTTTTTTAAAAGTGTATTCAACAGTCAGTATTCTACAATATTGGCTCCATAGCCTTAACGTTCAAGTTTTGTTTGTATTTGTTATATTGTGAAGCTTGATAATATACTTTCGGTCGGTTTTATATCTTTTCTTGAGACAATATTGATAGCGGTTCTCCCCTTATGCGATAATTGTTTAGTAAAGATGGACGATCTAGGTCAAGCGGTGCTAAAAGAAAAATAAAAGATGTGCACACAGTTTTGCAGAAAATACTTCAACTATTTTAGTGGTAAATTTCAAAAGTGTACAATGAAGAATGGAAATAGTGGGGGGGGGGGGGGGGGGGAATTATAGTTCAAAACAATAAGGACAATATGGAGGCGTCATTTTTAAGTAGTAAAAGAAATGACATGACAGGACGTCATAGATCCTAAATAAAGGCCTGCTCGTGCCACTTTCTGAAAGCCACAAGAGCGGTTATTTTATAACTGGACGACAGCTGTGGAAACGTACCCCTGGTACGTCGAGGATTGCATTTTGAAACGATTTCACTAATCTGTGACCCACAGAGCCACACTTGACAGCCTCTAGTTGTCTCGTTTCGTGCAAGTTTAAATAATTTAAAACCGGGAATTTTCAACAATAAAATAGCAACAAAATCGTCAGACAAAAACAGTTGATACTCACAACTGGTCGGTGCTGGGAAAGCTGAAATTGGCATAATCCGAAGTTTGGGCCAGTGTAAACTGGGACGCGTTGCCTGTAAGGTTGCATCCAGCTGTAGTGGTTGGTAGTTTGAAGCTGAGTGGTGGCGAGGTGTAAGCTCCGATACTCAGCCACAGAGAGACACGAGACCCAAGATTGCTCCACTCAGTGCACCCTAAGGAGTAAGTATAGAAGTTCTGGAGTTTGGAATTCTTGGTTGTGGCTTGTTGATCCAAAGAGTTGCTTGTTATTTGTAAAGGACAGCCTTAATTTCACATGAAAAGTAAACTCACAGGTACCCACTGCCTCTTATGGAAACGGAGGGAATGAATACGGATTAGACCAGTGTTCTTCAACCCGTGGGTCGCGACCCTCTGGTGGGCCGGGAAAATGTCCCTATTGGCCGCTAAAAAAAAATCCTGCGAATTAGGTAACGAGGTGGGATAAGTGGTTGTTTTCTTCCAATCTATAGGATTAGCACTTCAAGAACTGTCTATCCCTGTAGGGCAGTCAACAATAGTGTTAAAGATTGGAGATGAACATGATCTGTTAAGCTCCCCGTGAAACAATCAACAGTAGTGTTAAAGATGGGAGAGATCAGAATGATCTGTTGAGCCTTCCACGAAACAATCAACAGTGGTGTTAAAAATAGAAGATGAGAATGATCCGTTAAGCTCCCCGTGAAACAATCAACATTAGTGTTAAAGATAGGAGTACTGATCCTGATTTCCTCTGTCATCAGACAAACCTGCCAACGACCAGGTAAGCCAACATGCAGGATGGGGGAGGGGACCCAATCCCCTTACGTATTTTCTAAGAGGGGTGTGACTTAAGGAGCCTACGTCTTATTTAAGTGCCTTATAATCAACATAAACGTGCCGAACGGCGATGACATTTAGGCTATCCTCCGAATAACGGTCCTAAATTATCGAGGCGGAAAATATACCCTAACAGGGCCTCAGTCACGTATCAATTGCCCACTTTCGGGGACTATAACTTCAACTCCGAATTGCGAACTTTCTTTGACTTCCACCACCGCCGAGAGTATCCCATAAATAAAATGAAGGAAGCTGCAGGAAATGCGGTAGCTGCTGCTCGTGAGCCCCAGCCATCTAGTTTAGCCCCAATCCACGCCGCGTGAGCGGCGTATGGGATACTCTCGGTGGTGGCGAAAGTCGCCGGAAGTGCGCGATTTAAGACTACGGAAGTGCGCAATTTACACTTGACTGAGGCCCTGTTAAAGGTATATTTTCCGCCTCGATAATTTAGGACCGTAATTATGAGGATAGCCAGTGTTTAAGGGAGGCTTAGCCTTTTTCAACATTTTCTGGGAGGAAAAAATTGGGAGGGGGGCCTCAAGGCGCCTAAGCCAGAGTTCTCCCCACCCCAACCCCTTGGTTTAAGCCCCATACAGACGACTAAATATGGTTGCAGGAGAGCTGTGACGAGAAGACTAGATAATCAACACTCAACGTTGCATACCCCGCGTGGGAACCAGTAGATATGAAGACGACAGGAATATAGCTTGACTAAAATGCACGAGTCAGACCATCAGCAGTCCCTGTAAACAGTACGATCGATTAGATGAGATGTTTCAAAACAGCAGCCACCAGAGCGTTTCTTCCCCTATTATAAAAAGATTGTATTTACTAGCATCTAACCACCGAAAAAAAAAAAAAAAAAAAATGTTAGTACTCACCACAAAGTGTCCAATACAGTGGTGAAAGACACCCCCCCCCCCCCCCATTTTTTTAACGAAGATTATTATGGACTGGAGAGATTGCGGCACCTGGGTGTAACTAGTGGGTCTGGCCGGCTCACTACACTCAGAGGAAAGGCAAAACAGACATTTAACCAGATTGTGACCGGTACCACCAGTATTGGAGCTCTCGCGCTGGCTGCTGAAGAGCACGCATGAGAATGCCCCGAGTGCTGTGATGTCAATTCTTGACAACTCAACTCAGCTTTTTTTACGCCTTCAGGTGCATTGGGTATATTGTGCTAAACATATTGTTTAGGACTAGTCGGCACTCGGTGAGAGATGTTGTCAAAATCACACCGGCTGTCTTTACTTTTCTGGACTCTACCTAGTACCCATTTAAGACCAGGTCAACATGGGAGACAATGTCATTACAGAAAAAAAAAAATATGTTGCTAGGGAGAGTTTATCAGCAGCAGCAACAATGTTGTAGGTAGTAGGCAGATTTTATCAGCATCCGGTCAGCACAACTTACCTGCCAGTTGGCACTAGTGAAACACGATCCCAGGATAAACAGGCCCACTAGGGGCGCTCCTGTAGCACCGTTCAACGTTAGAGACGCCTGGCGACCAGCACGCAAGAAAGACAACATAGAACGTTATTTATGCGATGTATTCTTCCACTTAGATTGTCGTATAAAAACATACAACAACATACTACTACATCTATCAATTGTACCTCAGCTGCCAACTGATACTACAATACCAGCTGAGTTAAAACTGTTACTACCATCATCACCAACAATGAAATCATCAACAGTAACATTTTTTTATTGTCCTCAGAACCGTGCTAAGTTGTGATGCAGATGCGGCCGCAAGGTGGAATAAATAGCGAAATCAAAATTCAATTTGAACTGTTCAGGGGCGGCATTTCGAAGACTTGAATCATACTGAGAGAAATCTACCGCACAGCCTTGATTATCCTCTTGTGTCATTATATGTCACATGCGGTTTGCAATTTGTTTCTCCATTCCGTTCTACCCTGTGCAGTTTTAAAAAGGGTAGGAAATTTTAGGATAGAGAAGAAAAAGGGGACAAGAAAAAAAAATAGTTTGTGTTAGCTTTATAAAGTCAATTACAATGAACAAACAAAGGACGTTGCAGTGATTAGCCTTCATCAGCAAACAATGACAGCACAGCACATATGCAAAAATATACACTACGAAATGACCACACTGGACTGTTATGTACTAAATAGATGATACTTATCTGGGTCCCTGGTGAAAACTCCGAAAGATTGAATTGGACAGGTACTGACCTATTTATCACCATAAGACCGACGGGAAGTGAAACTGGGTCAGTAGCCTGGGTGGAAAGGGGGTGGGGGATTTAACGCCAGTAATAGTGGGAGAAAGGAAACAGACACGAACTCCAGTATTTCTATAGTTTACTATTATTATTAATCATTAGGGAACTAAAACAGTTTACCATCATGAGATTTTACAGGCCAATTAATTGTACAGACCATTGTTTCCCGAACTTTTCTTAGTCGCGGCGCCTTTTTTAAATAAAAAAATTTTTTCCACGGCGCCCTGACCTAGGTAAAAGTATGACTATTTGTATGTAAGAGATTAAAAAAAAAAAAAAAAAAACGAGTGTATCTTCGAAAATTTCGCGGCGCCCATGTGAAGAGGTCGCAGCTCCTCAGGGAGCCGCGGCGCACAGTTTGGGAATCACTGGTATAAATCATTCTAATTAATTAATCAAAACTTGCTTTCGATTGGATTGCATGATTCTTTTTTTTTTTTTTTTTTTTTGGTTCCACTAATATATAGATCGAAATATTTTCTATTTTAAATTTGTATCATCATCATCAGGTGCCTTGCCGACTGGCGTGGGTGATCATGCCTCTCCACAATCTGCAATCTCCTGCAGCATGTATTAGTTAGTGTGCTGACACACCTTCATGCCATGCAACAAGACTGTCAAGAATCTTCTCTCGTTGTCTTCCTCTATCCCTCCTTTAACGGATCTTTGCAGTAGTCACAACATATTTCATTTTCCGTCTTCTCATAACATGGCCGAAAAATGATGACTGTCTCATTCTGATGTCTGTGATTAGTTGTCTTCGAGCTCCCCCCTCTTAACCTCTTGGTTGCTCTTTTTGGCTGTCCAATGCATTTTAAGCATTCTTCTGTAAAACCACATCTCTGGGGCCTTAAGAAATTGTTTGGCCTCCCTACCGATTGCCCAGGACTCACAGCCATATGTTAAAACTGGATGTATGTAGCGAGCAAGAATTCTTTTTCTAACCCTCAATGACAGAGTTATATTGCATAAGATGTCAATTTGTATATGTGTGTATAACTATAAGTGTGAGAGTCGCGGTCGTGTAGCAGCTAAATGTTTGCCTGCGGACTGGAAGGTTGTAGGTTCGTATCCTGTCAGAGCCGGAACTTATTTTCGAAAATGACCTTGGCTCTCAGGTCCACCCAGCCTTGAGTGGCTACCAGGTACAGTCCTGGGAAGTAAATGCAGCCGGCGTGATGCTGAACATCATCCAAAAAGTGCCGATTTGTCTACAAAATATAGGTCTAGCCGTATATGCCAAATAATTCTAAAGGCGTGGAAAAAGGTTCGTTACTTTAGTTTACTTACTATAAGTGTATGCTCTAATCCCCAGATTATTGCTCTATTTTGTTTTTTAAACGGGACAACTTGCGTATTTTATGAGTCCCGATAAGACGATCAGGACACACCAGGAGGGAAAAAAAAAAGAGACTGACCCAGTTAAAAACGGGACCTATAATCACCCTAGTCTGTGTGCATCTGCATCTCTGTTTGTGTCTCTATCTTTCTGCACCTGTACACTTTTGTCTGACCTTCATTACATTTACAGTCTTATAAAAAGTATAAGAGAGGAGGAATTTCACCAGCACTGACATTAGAACTGACACAGTCTATGACATGACACGACACGACACGACCATACAGAAGCTTGCTACCTGTAGGACTGTTCCGCCCAACTCCTTGACCAGAAAGGCCAGTCCCACACCCACACAGCCATAGGCTACAGCTGCAAGTAGTAGACCATAATTTACTGTTAGAACCGATGTCGTATTTAGGATGTATGAGACTCGTGTGCAGTTATTTATGTTATGCCCCTCTTCCCTCAACTGAAGTTCAACATCGCTCTTGTCAGAACGCTCATCTAATGAGGATAACGTAATGATAAAACAAATACAAATATAACAATTGTATGAATACTAGTTATATTTTGCCACCCCAACATTTTGCTGCCCCGTTACGCCTAAATAAGACCCTGGTTAAAACAACAACAACAACAGAACAGCAACAACAACATAGAACTCGGAACAAATATGTAAACTGGTCTTGCCGGGTTAAGTTTTACGTTAGATAAGATTCAGTGACATTATGCATTGTTGTCTATTCCAATATTTCTGCAACACGGAACACGGTTTAATATATTCGAAAATAAATGCAAGAGAAAACGGATGCAGATTAAAAGTGATAAAGTTTTAAAATGCAAAGAAATAAGAAAAATATGACGACAACTGTTGGTATGCAGCCTACTTAGTTATGTTATGTTATCACAATCGACGTCACTGAACATTGGGCATACTCATCTTGCTCAGTCCTCAAATGATTCAGGGATTCCAAGTTATCTGTACGGATTGTTCTCATGAGAAGCTGGTTATATCATGGCCACCTTTAGCTAGTCATGGTTATTGTGTCTCCTGTCTTGACCTCGAGGACGGCATCAAGCTTCACTCCCAGGTCACGCAATCGTGATAGCGCCATACTTCTTACAACATACTACTGCTGACGTAACATTGCTTAGTAAAACCACCAATGCCAATTGGTTAGCGATATCCTTAAATGAAATCAAACTACTGATGACAACATACTACTACATGACTGTCAGTGGTGGAAACCCAATAAAGAGAGTATAAAGGGAAATGCCAGTAATCAATTGTAGGGCTAGGAAGACTTGTACACTATTACTGGATAAGTGAGATAAATATTTAAAAATAATAATAATTAAAGAGACATTTAACCATCTCCCCTTCTATTTCTGTACATTCACTTCCCATCTCTATATTTCTCACTCGCCTTTGTCTCTCCCCTATCTTGTAATCTCCGCCCCCCCCCCCCCCCTTCTTTCTTCCTGTTTTTGTTTTACCATTTCGCCTTTATTTGCGCAAAACAAACATCCAACTGACTGACTGACTTTCTACCCCACCAGGACATCACACAAGCGATAAACACCCGACGACACAAAGTGCCACCATGCGGATGAGGATCGCCGTGGAGAGGTCCCAGAAACCGCGTTCAGACATTTGGCCATATGTATGGCCTGCCTATATTGCGGCCCCTGGCAAAAGCCAGAGTAGGGCTTCAAATAACAAAAAATTTCGTCCTAAAAAGGACGAAACTGGGTATTATAAACATCCAACTCTGTACAGTTCACCTTTATATCACGTTTTGAGAACTGAGAGCCTGAAAAAGTTGTAACAACGTTGTGGTTTCAGGATATTAGTGACAGAGGTCGAACGAAAAAATGATGATAGGTTACGATAAAATGACACAGTTAGTAACGTGTCCAGAGCGCAATAGTCATCTAAACTGAACTGATGCTAGAAATCGACGAATCCGTCCAAAGACATATAGGGACTAACTGGACAAGAACTAGCACATCCTCTGCACGTTACCTAATACCTTGGTGATCCTCGTGGCTCGGGAGTCCGAGATCTCGGAGAAGCTCGGTTTGAGGAAGTCTTCCCATGTGACCGCAGCCAGCGAGTTGAGCATGGATGACACCGAACTGGGAACAGAAAGCAAAATGTTTTGCGTGTTCTTGACAGGAATGAGTAAAAGTAAAGGACATTTTTTTTCCACGCTTTCAGGCGTATTGGGCTTATAGGGCTAGACCTTTATTTTATAAACCAATCGGTTTATGTGGTCAACATCCGCTGTCGTCGCCGCTAAACAACTCATTGTACTTATCAAAGGGCACCGTAAAAAAAGTGTGGTAATCACCTAGATACGCCATTTAACAACTTGTTGTACTCAACATGGGGTACCATTAAACAACTTGTTGTACTCAACATGGGGTGCCATCAAACAACTTGTTGTACTCACCTGAAAGCGCCACTAAACAACTTGTTGCACTCACCTAAGGGCGCGACTGAACAACTTGTTTTACTCACCTAATGAACCCACTGAACAACTTGTTGTACTCAAACATGTTCGCAAATAAATAACTTATTATACTCACCGTGGAGTGCTACTAAACAACTTGTTATACTCACATGAGGACCCCACTGAACTTATTGTTATACTCACCTGGGGGACGCCACTGAACAATTTGTTATACTTACCCAAGGGCAGCAGTATGCAATTTTTAATACTCACCTAAAGACGCCACTAAAGAACATGTTATACTCACCTGGGGGGACCACTAAACAACATGTTATACTCACCTGAGGGCACCACTGAACATCATGTTATACTCACCTGAGGGCACCACTGAACATCATGTTATACTCACCTGAGGGCGCCACTGAGCAACACGTTATTCTCACCTGAGGGCGCCACTAAACAAACTAGAGATAAACAGTCCCGACAGTCCGTGGTAACCTCCCAAAATGTCCATGACATAATACGGAAGTAACTGTATAAATAAAGATGTCACAAACCAGTGAACATGGTTTAAGCGGGAAAGAGGATTTCAAGGATTTCAAGACCTACCCCACTTACTCCCTTATCAGCTCCCCGCGTGAGTGTGTGATGTGTGTGTGTGTGTGTGTATATATAATAAAACAATAATAATGTACACTAAAACAAAACGTTGAAAAGGTAGTCGCCATGAAGTATTTTATTTTCATTGCAGTCTCCGCAAGGATGAATGACTGCAGTGGATTTTGTAAATCGGTCCTTATCTCCTTCACAGTGAGACTGATACACAACCCAGAAGCCACAAGAATGGCTTTTTCTAAACCCGCCTCTGAAATCCAACCCTGATACTCCGGCGAAACACTATCACGGACCACTAAATCAAAATGCAGTAAATTAAACCAGTTTTTATTTCTTAGATGATTTATCCTAGCAAGGATGTATCATTTTGGACTTTCCTATTAGTTAGTTGCGTATCCTTTACAGGACGTTGCAGAACCAACCCCAAATGCCCCTGGCGGTTGCGTGGTTTTTCTAGGCAAATTTACGTCCAGTAGTTTGCCATTGCTTTCTAGACGGTCGGTTAAATTGATACCACTGTCGAAACCAATGCAAGGCGCATGGTCCCGCAGCTGGGATCGAACCTGGCATCCCGGCATTACGAAGCGTTCGCATCGATTTAGCCACAGAGCCAACGAACTTTCCTATAGGTATTCCAAAACAAAAAAACAAAAAACATTCGCCAGGGATGGCAGCACTTTGGAAACAATGTTTACTTTAGAACAACCCTCACAACAGACGCCACCTATTTCGTCATTTAAATATACGGGTAAACTGCATAAAACAATATGCATAAGCAGTTTTTGTGTGATGTTTGCAGACTAGAAATTGTGTTTCCGACTCCGCTGATATAAGCTTCTGCATAGCTGCATAAGCGACAAAAGTCAATGAAATTATAAACTTTGAAGGGTGTTTTAAACCTCCACGATCAAGCAGTTGTATGTAGTCTGTGGACGTTGCACCTAAGTCAACATCATATGCTAATGACCTGCCTGTCTGCAGTAAAGCCTTGCATGCAGCACACTAAATTGTTGTGTTCAGCTTACTAGAGACAAATTCAGCAATATACAGCAGTGACTCCTCTGAATCTTCCGAAACTAATAATTCAGTCATTTGAGTTTATATGAAAAAAAAAAAAAAAAAACATTGTTCACTTCCAGCTGAACAGCATCAGTAATTATGTCATCCCCATTGTCACCTTCATTGCTGCTAAGAAACTCTGAGAGGTCAAGGATAGGAAAATTTCCATAAGTTGATGAGGACATACTTAGCAATGAGTAAACTTTTAGTTTATTTCCTGCTTCTAAAACTTGCTGAACAGATACTTTATAGTTTACTCCTGATAACTGGCGATATTCGCCAAACCGAGCTTTTAAGTTGTCAGTCTGCAGCTTTCCAAGAAGTATAAAACTGGCTTCTGTGGTTGCAAACAGATATTTGATTAAAAGACAGCATTGCGGTCACTGTATGCAGCAAAGCACTGTGTGTTTCCTTGGTCAGTTTTCCTCGACAGCCAGTCATCCATGATGTCCTCTTTCTCAACCATTCAGTAAACCGTTCAAGATAATGTACTTGTTCATCATTATTTGATCATATAGGATTTGAGAATGAGTTCAGTATCTTTTTACCTATAAATTTACTTTTCACTTTAACAATATGCCACCATCTAAGGATGGCCTCAATAAAATCTGCTGTTTCATTACTGCCCACTAGACGCAGAGCAGCAAAACTGTATTCATTAAAAATTGCCAGAGCAAGAGAACAGTACTGTCTGTCCATGCTGGAGGAATAGATTTCTTTGTAGGAAAGTTTAGGTACCAGTTTTGCCATATTATTTCGCTCATTATAATACAGTTTCTTTAAAAGAGAAAAGATGGCTTCTGCAGCTCTATCAGTATCCCAGGCGTTTAGCATTTGCACAGTTATTAAAGGATAAGTAAATATCTGGTCTGTGTCCTTCTGGTTGATCCAGTTCTTCCAAATGCATTTTAGCAAGTACACAGAATCATGCAGCAGAATATATTTTTTTTATCAGCAAAATCTGGGTTCTCAATAAATGTTTGGCTTGGTTTCATCAGATCAGTCTAAAATAATAAGCAAACACACACACACACACACACAACACACACACACACACACATATATATATATATATATATATATAAACAAGTAGAGCCATAATAATAAGAAGAACTCTACAGGGGAGCATGCACAGCAGGGGTCCACCGATCATCAGTAGAAAGATCCCTCCTCGACGACTGTTTCGGCCATTTACTTCCTAGACAATCTCGGACGATAAGTCGATCTGGATCATGAAGCCAGGCCTCGATCTTCCCATGCTGCAGTTTATTGGACGTTCGGACATGGACAAGACGAAATGGTGACTCTTCAAAAGGTATTGTGAGATCTGGTGTTATATATTGTCTCTGCGGTAGCAAATTAAGCCGACTATCTTTACAACCAGAGTGTCAAGCTAACGGCTGGTTCATCGGACAGGTGTTGGCTTTAGCAGTTGGCAGAGAGACACTGGCAGACATTTATAGGGGCACTCTGGCCTTGTAGGAATGAAACAGTTTTTTTTTTTACCACTAGGAGCTCGGACCAGTCTACCGAGGCCCATCACCCACGGCGTTCTGTTGCGTCCAAAGCCAGCTCGAAGCCCTTTCAGCTGCTTCGCCCAGTTTGTTTTAGTTTTAGTAACCGTTTACGCTCTTTTCCTCATCCACGAATACTACGGCAGAGTCGGCTCTATCAGGATGAGCTGGCGTTTCTTCGCAAAGTTCAGAACCTTATTTGGTCTTAGGTCGGTCTTTCGGCAATTTTCGAAACCAGGCAGGTCGACCGCCAGTAACCAGTCCATATGTAGATATGTGCATACAATTACACATACAATTACACATACACAAGCATACAGACAGGCATACAAACATGTGTCTGTGTGTGTGTGTATATATATTTTTATATACATATACACACAAGTACGTAGATAAATTAGACACAGGTACACATAGAAGTACACACGGAGGCGCGTGCGCGCCCGCACAAACACACAAATCACTCAGATGTGATCAAGAGTTAGCATAGGTCACTCAGACATGTACATATCAACCAATGCCGTCTTTAATAGTGAACTCAGCCTTGTATCAACCACACAGATAAACAGACGTAAACAAATCGGGAATTACCTGATTTGGATTAGCAATAACCTTGAGTTTAAGTGGGTCACATCGTGAGTAGTGCGCGAAGAGAGCCAGCCCGGTGAGTGAGCACAAGCTGATCATGAGGAACATGCCAGGGATGTTCATCAGGATGGCGCTGTGGACAGCATGACAACATGCTGTAGACTTGCTGCAGACTGTAGTGGGGCTGTGTGGTGTTGTAGTCAAGTTGTAACAAGTGAAATGTTTGTATGAATTGAAGTAGTAGTAGTAGTAGTAGTAGTAGTAGTAGTAGTAGTAGTAGTAGTAGTAGTAGTAGTAGTAGTAGTAGTAGTAGTAGTAGTAGTAGTAGTAGTAGTAGTAGTAGTAGTAGTAGTAGTAGTAGTAGTAGTAGTAGTAGTAGTAGTAGTAAGTAGTAGTAAGTAGTAATTAGTAGTAGTAGTACTAGTAGCAGCAGCAGTAGTAGTAATAGCAGTATTTGACGTTGTTGTTTGTTTTATTTTTGTAGGCATGGCTTTTTTTGGCGGCACGTAGTATCGGCACCCTTTTTAAGGCATATTTTTCCCACGCTGGTGAAACAGGCACTTTGTTTTGACTTCCGTCACCTAATTCTAAATACTTTGGGTTGAGTGCCTGCACCTTATTTTCTAGAATATAAAAAAAAAGCCCTGGTAGTAGTAGTAGTAGTAGTAACAACAGCAGCAGCAGCAGCAGCAGCAGCAGCAGCGGTGGTGATGGTGGTCGTGTTGGTAGCAACAGCAGCAGCAGCAGTAGTAGCAGCAGCAGTAATTGTGGTGGTAACAATGCTAGTGGTCGGAATAGTGTTTTAAAGGTGAAGGTAGAGGTACGGCGTTGGTATTGATGTAGTGGCAATGATGTTGCTTGTGATGATAATGGGAAACAAAAGATATAACTTTGCTAGGTAGCTTGATGCATACAAGTAAGAAGATCAATGATAATGTTCTCGTGAACTCTAGTGAACATGTTCAATCCCATCCCACATCTTGGCGTCCGTTGAGACTTACATTTTGGCGTCTGTCAACGATCTGGCCGAGGAAAATCGCTGCACCATCTGCTGGTCAACCGTGTAGGGAGGCAGCCACACGAAGAAGATGCCGATCAGTAGCGACCAAAACGTGTGTCGGACTCTCGGGTCAAAGCTAAAACTGCACGGGACAAACCAGAAAACACAGTATTGCTTGTATAGAATTGTATGCATCCTGTGTAATACCCGTGTTGTACCATAAGTCTTCAAAAAGTGTGGTAGAAATTGCACCAGCCACGCCAGTGTATTGTAACCTGTTAGTATTGTTGCTAGGATGTCAACAATGCTAAGCACGTGACATTTCAGTGCAGTCGAACACGGTGACGTAATATCATCAAATTGACCGTTTAAAGATGATACCCCACTTTTGACATGCACCAGAGAGGTGCAGCGTTTTGTTAGTTGTTGTTGTTTTTTTTTAATCAACGAAGGGATGAAACAGCCGACTATAGACACAATTCACTTTACCACAGGAAAACAACGTGTTAGCCAGTGTAGCCAGCCCTTGCACTGTCACGTGACCAGGTGAGGGTCCAGGCCTGTGTCTCTAGTCGGTTGGGGGGTGAAACCTATAGGAACTGATTGGCGAATGAAGGTCCAATCTTGACTGATGTCATGATGTGCCTGGTCTCGATTGTGAGGCTGCTAGTTGTAACAGGAATGGCACCAGACATCTACCTAATGGTTTTCCCTTTGCGCTCACAGTGAACGTGCACACACTTCACGTGCCCCGGGTGACTGGTCCATCCGTGTAAACCACAGCAACATTGTCATCTGCGTTCTCACTTTTGACTAAAGTGTTCACTATGTCAGGAATATGTTCTCTGCAGCTTTTGGCAAGGGGGGGGGGGGATATGGACCGTGAAATGCACCTATTCAGTTCCTTGATTAATGTCTGGAAAACAACTCATCTGCTGGATTGTACCCTCCGTATGACCCATTCAAGATTTTCCTCTTTTAAGTCGGTTGGGAACAGTGATCTCCACCCTTGGAGCGCCAACCCCCCTCCCCCTCCCATCGCCTACCTCCCCCAAGGGAGTCAAGGAGGTTTCAAGTGGTGGGGTGGGGGCAATGTTGAAAGTTCGTTTACTTGTACTGTAATAATCTGTTATACTTACATTTTGTTTTCGTTTGATTATAAATACAATATTTTAAACACTATTTATAAGATTATTTATCAAACAAAACGACAAGGACATTTTTGTTTTTATAGAGTTCGAATATCTCCCGTTAAAATTATAAATATTATGATAACATGCACATTTAATTATGTATTGATAACACATTCTGACCAGAACTTATCCCCATACTTTCTGTTGCTTTTATTCTTATTGTGGAATCTATTAACCTTCTATTTTTAATACCATTTCGTTATACTGGGGTAGGGGGAGGGGGAGGGGGGGGGCTTACTGCATACAAAGAGGGGTCGTGGGGGTCTTGTATATACTTTAAAAAAAGGGGGGGGGGGGCCTAAAAAAAATATGTGTAGACCACTGACTTACAGGATAGGTCAGCGATTGGGTTGAGAATGACACCCCAGTGGTAAGCGACAAAGAACATACCTGTCAGCGGTGAGTTCTTTTATGTTAAGTCATCACATCACGAGAGATTTATGGAAATCCCATAGTACAAAAAAAAAAAAGGGGGAAAGGGGGGGGGGGGGGGGTGGGTTAGTGTTAAATAATTAGCCACTACTACTAATCCTACCCCCCCCCCCCCCTCCTCTCCCCATTCTATGGGATTTCCATAAATATAGCATAATGTGATGACTTAACAGAAAAGAACCCAGCGGTGAGAGAGATATTTAAATAATGTAACAATGAATTACTTGAAGAATTCCACCCGTCTGCCGTCATAGTTGTCCTGCCAAACCTGTGCCGCTCCGCCGTCCACCAGGAAACCCTATGGGGAAAAGAAGTGGGAGATATTTCGGTTTCTGCGTTTCTGACCTGTTTTTTGCAGAAGTAATTGTGTGTGTCATAGGCGCCGGAACCTGCGACTGAGGTCACTTGAGGCCCCCTCCCCAGTTTTTTTTTTTTTTTTGGAGGGGGGGTTGTATAAGGACTTATAAGCTCCCCTTTAACCATGTATAGAAATGTTATTGGAAAGTATTGTTTAAGATATATCATGTTATCTCTGGTATATTATAATATATATTTGTCATTTATCCCAATAATAATAATAATAATAATAATAATAATAATAATAATAATAATAATAATAATAATAATAACGTGTTAAAAAGCAAAAAAATTATAATAAAATACTGAGATAATATGAAATGTATGAAAAATTTTGTAAAAGACAATTTAAATGCATGGTTAAAGGCAACTTCTTAGCCCAGTTACAAAGTTATTGAAGCAGGGACGACCAGGCCCATCTCCCATTTATTCAAGAAGATAGTTGTGCGTGTGCAAGACATGACCCCGCCTACTCCTTTTCCTGACACTTGCAATTAGCGACGCCTAACTGGCGAGGCTTTTTTCGAACCAGGTCTGGTGGAGATACCGGTGAACGTCGCACCTCTAAATCAGTTTACCTTTTGCCACAGATGGTCTGTCTTGTGGGGTTGCGGATTCCTTCAAACTAGATAGTGAACACGTGAATACAGTATTTTAAAACACACACACACACACACACACACACACACACACATAAACACACACACACAAAACACTTCCACATACTCTCTCTTCTACACCCCCCCCCCCACACACACACACATAGAAACTTAAATATTATCTTTCGGAACTGGTAACGAACTCAGGTCCAGGTGCGTCCATTTACACGCAGGCTGACCTGTCACTGATGATTGGTCAGGCTGGTCTACGTGAGAGGGATGTAGAATGCACTCTTTTGTCGGACCTAGGCTTAGTGTGGGGTGGGAGGGGGGAGGGGGTTAGAGTTAGTTAAAACCGCTCACATTCTGTGATACAGAGCAAGCGTGGTCGCCGGTAAGACCGTCGAGACAGTACAACGTCATACTAACCTGACATCCCTGCCACTTAAACTGTACGTGTCTGAAATATTAACGTGCACGAATAAACGTCTAGTCATAGTGCACTTGTCTGACTCCGTCAATCATAGGTGTGTAGATAGGCGGAGCTGGGCCTGAGTTCGTTACAAGTTCTTATCTTTCTGCCATTAATCCTCCCGCCACCCCTATCCCGCACACACACTTTCACATACTCTCTCTCTCTCTCTCTCTCTCTCTCTCTCTCTCTCTCTCTCTCTCTCTCTCTCTCTCTCTCTCTCTCCGTTTTATAAATACCACCCCCTTCCCCGGTCCTAACCCACACACATACACATCACACACGTCCAATCTGTTCTACCTCCTCATTGACGATATCATCACCTGTATAATGACGGCACACATGCCCGCCAGCATGACCAAGGTCTGAAACACGTCCGTCCAGATGACAGCTTTCATCCCACCAATCGTTGTGTAGAAAGTACAGACCACGCCCACTGTGACAATCACCGCCCACTCTGGAAACTCTGTGACTGTGATTGGTTGTAATATCCAGATTTATATTATAATCTATTCTGAACAAACAGTTGAGAAGGGCGCTACTCAAAAAAAAAAAAAAAACCAGTTAGGTGGGGAGGGGATGTGGGGCCTCATTCTCAACATTATTTTTAAAATAAGGGTGATGCTCAAGGGACTTAAGCCTTGTTTATGTGCGTAATAGTTGGAGTGGGGCATAATAAACGTGAGACGAATAAAAAAAACGCGAGCCTTTTTTTACCTGGTGACGAAAAAAAAAAGCTTTTCGATTCTCTTTGTTGTTGATCTGCGGAAGGACATCAGTCGGACGCTATTGGCACCTGCTACTCTCCACACTGTCAGAATAGTTTTTTAGAGGATGGCGCCTCCCCATCACGTGTATACACAGTCACGTTTCTAATACTACAATGACTAATTGCCCCTATTACTTATACCCCTTGTTTTAATACCATAACCACGCTAATAATACCACAGTCCCGCTCCTAATGCTTCAACTTCTTGTTCTAATGCTACATTCCCGCTCCAGATGCTTCAACCCCTTGTTATAATACAACAATCCCGCTCCTGATGCTTCAACCCTTGGTTCTGATCCCAATATCCCGCTCCTATTGCTTCAACCCATTGTTCTAATACAACAATCCCGCTCCTGATACTTCAACTCAAACCCAGCCCTCCCCCCCCCCCCTCCAATCCACCACTTTAACACTTCTGATTGACAGAGTTCAGTCAGGACTCTGTGATTGGACGTTCAGTCTCCACCTTATTCTGTGAGACGGGCAAGTGTAAGTGGCAGGGACGTCAGCTTGTTCGACGCTCCTACCGGCAACCATGCGTGCTCTTACAGGATGGGAGGGCCTTTAACGACCCGATAACATGTACAACTGGCTCTAACCCCAACCATCCCCCTCCCACATACACGGAACCTAGGTCCCATGAAAGAGTAGTAGTAGACCAGGACACCTCTGCAACCTTGAGCAACGTGGACCAGCCTGATGAAGCATCAATGAAAGGTGACCTTGTGTGTAGATGGGGGCGCTGGGCCGGAGCTCGTTACAAGTTCCTTCAATCCCTTGTTCTAATAACATAACCACGCTTCTAATACGCTTCAACCCACTGTTTTAATACCGTAATCACGCTTGTGATACCAAAATTACGAGCGAGAATACAATAATCGCGTCCCATTCACAGTTTGCTTACCATATTCTACAACCATTATATTGTAAGTGTTCCTGCAATGACTAGTAGCTACCGCTTAAAGTTTAAAGTCGAGATAAGTGTCTCAGTAGCAAGGTCAGGTGGTATCCGATTCGGAGAATATCCTCTTTAAAAACACGCATTTTTTGCCATTTCCCCGTCCTCAGTGACGACACCCGGCACGGCTCGCACCCCGCTTCTTACATCACTGCAGCGACTCATTGCAACGGTTTTATTCTATACAGCTCAATATTTCTCCACAGACCGGTTAGCCGCTCTAAAACCCAAAGCACAAACATTCTAGCTCCGTCGACATCCCTAGTGAGGTACAAACAAACTGGACTCGTGAAAGAACGACGCAATGACACGAACCCACTACTTTCAGAACGCGAGGCGCCCCCCGCCCCACCATCCTCATCCCAAAATGCATTGCAGCTGCAGTATAGTATATGCTCCAATGTCTGCTTTATATTGCCTGTTTCTAGCTTATAACTACCGGCGGCTTTCTATCGGATAATCAATCAATCAATCAATCAATCAGGTGTAGTCTCCATACAATGAAGGTTGGCTGCAAGGGATCATAAACACCCTCTGTCTCTTGTCTTGATTCTACAGTCTCTCAGACTGCTGCCCGTCTATCTCATGATGTTGCCCTCTCACTTGTAGGGAGGACAATATCAAGAGATGGATACAAACAGAAGACCCGTGTAGTTGAACCCCAGTCGTTATGTAACTACCAGGGTTTTATCACTAAAAGATATCGAACTAAACGAAAAGTGGAATCGGTCGGCTTCACAAGGCAGGAGATCATAAAAAATGAGAGGTTTCGAAACAAGAGTTTCAGGTGTATGGGGGAGATTATACTTGTTTTACCTGCACTGAGAGCTGTAGATGGCCCGAACAGGACGATTCCCATACCCACACTCTGGGGAAGAAATAGATATATCAAGAGAAACATGGAAGTTATTGAATCGTTTATTATGTCAATGTAAACACATAGATATATACGCAAACGGACAGTTGCAGACTCTTGAAGGAACTCGGGAGCTTGGTAATAACTGACAAAAGTGGCGAAAAGAAAGCAAGAGGAAGGCAGAGTAATAAATACATAAATAGCCTGGCCAGATGGATGGGGCGAGACAAAAACATTGAAGTGATTCGTGATTCTAGCAATCGTGTGAGATAGCGAAACATGACAGCCTAGTCGGTATGTCACATCATGATGATGAGTCAGTAGAAATGTGTATTTTCAGACACGTAAATCATCACCCAACAATAACAATAAATGATGAGGAAATTGAAACTGTGAAAAACTTTGAATATCTTGGCTCTATAATAAACAGCAATGGAGACTGTTCGACAGAAATTAAAAGGAGGATGGCCATAGCAATGCAAAGATTTAACAGCCTTAAAAGTCTATGGTTAAGCACCATCAAGGAGATGAAAATTAGAATTTTGAGAGCATGCATCTTCCCTGTGGCTACATACGGGTGTGAGTCGTGGACTATCTCTCAGTCCTTAAGAAAGAGAATAGGGGCTTTTGAGCTGAAATGCTACAGAAAGATTCTCAGAATATCTTGGACAAAGAAGAGGAGAAATATTGACATCTTAAAAGATCTGAAGGAAGACTGACTAATAAACAGCCTACTTTATCGGAAGCTGAAATATTCTAGTCATATTAAGCGCCACGATGGATTGAAAAACATTATAGCAAAAGGCATGGTACAAGGAAGGAGGGGCAGGGGCCGACCAACACGAAGATGGACACAGGATATAAGTGACCCCTTTAGTATGAAATTACATGAGGCGGGAGAAGTGGCGAGAGAACGAGTTTCTTTCAGGCAGACTGTGATGAGAGCGACGTTCTGCAAAAGACCTGCTACATGATGATGATGATGATGATATTTTCGCACAGGCCCTTGATGGGCTCCAGGGCCTTATTTTAGGGAGAAAAGAATAGACGAACTGCTTCCCTAGGGGTGTTTGTTTTAAAGTCTGAGTGCATCTGCCCAAGAGGTGAGGAACCCGTAGTCTGTTAACAAATAAGCCAAATCTGTAAATGTGCAAGCAAAACCGTCTATAGCCAGTGAACGCGACATCAGACAAAGAATGAAATGGTTCGGCATATAGTTAGAATGCAACCAGACCAAACTGCATATGCGACCTTTTACAACAGAACATCTGGGAGGTAGGTGAGGGATACAGAGAACGACGACATTGAGCTACATCCTGGTATCAGTGAGACGACAAATGAAGAAGAAGAATCAGACAGCGATCGCAACATACAGACAAATTATAGTTCCAACAGATGAGCCTGAAAAACTTAAAGTATCTAAGTTTAAGTTAAAAAAAAATCATTTTGTAACAATGTCAACAAGAAGAAGACTAAGAAGAATGAACAAAATAACGATTGAAGGAAGGAGCGTAAAAGGAGAAGAAAAAGAATAAACCAACAAAGGAACCAAGATGAAGAATTAGAAAAAGAAGAAGAAGAAGAAGAAGAAGAAAGAGGAAGAAGAAGAAGAAGAAGAAGAAGAAGAAGAAGAAGAAGAAGAAGAAGAAGAAGAAGAAGAAGAAGAAGAAGAAGAAGAAGAAGAAGAAGAAGAAGAAGAAGAAGAAGAAGAAGAAGAAGAAGAAGAAGAAGAAGAAGAAGAAGAAGAAGAAGAATAAGAAGATGAAGAAGAAGAAGAAGAAGAAGAAGAAGAAGAAGAAGAAGAAGAAGAAGAAGAAGAAGAAGAAGAAGAAGAAGAAGAAGAAGAAGAAGAAGAAGAAGAAGAAGAAGAAGAAGAAGAAAAAGAAAAAGAAGAAGAAGAAAAAGAAGAAGAAGAAGAAGAAGAAGAAGAAGAAGAAGAAGAAGATGAAGAAGAAGAAGAAGAAGAAGAAGAAGAAGAAGAAGAAGAACAAGAACAAGAACAAGAACAAGAACAAGATCAAGAACAAGAAGAACAAGAAGAAGAACAAGAAGAAGAACAAGAACAAGATCAAGAACAAGAAGAACAAGAAGAAGAACAAGAAGAAGAACAAGAAGAAGAACAAGAAGAAGAACAAGAAGAACAAGAAGAGCAACAAGAAGAACAAGAAGAAGATAACAGCAACAAAAAGTTTACAAACGTAACAAAAAGACAGCAGCAGCGAAAAGACAATTGCTAGAAGAAGAAGACAGCTAGGAAATAAGAAAACAGCCCTAAAAGTAAAACAGACAAGACAAGATAAATGGCAGACGACAAGACTCACAGTTCTCAGCAAGAAGATGAAGGCACCAAACAGTCTCACCGCCCTTGAGCGAAATCTGAGCTGTAAATACTAGGGGGAAAAAAACAAAAAAGGCATATATATATATATATATATATATATATATATATATATATATATATATATATATATATATATATATACATACACACATAGATGTTGACTCACAGAAGTTAATGAAAGAGGTAGAGATCAGAATATACGCTAAATAAAAACTTCACCTGTATTATGACGTACTCTGCCAACTGGCGAGGCGATCATGCATCACTACATCTCACGAACAGCAAGCAGTAGGCTATGTGACAAATCGTGTTTTGAACCTTTCTATGCCGTGACGAAATATCTGATAAAAGATGTTAGTTGACTTAGGGCTCATCTTTAATTAGAGGGTTGGTCTCGAGGCATGGCGTCGGCCTCGAGTGCTGGAGGTCCCGAATTCAAGCCTCTGGGTAGTAAGAACGGATGCCCGTGTGTATTGTTGCGCACGTTTGGAAATTGAAAAGCAGTAGCCTATCGGTGCTGCCCGGGCATAATTTGGAGTTAAAAATCTACCCATAGTAATTCAGGATTGTAGCCGGTGCTATGGAGTTCGTGCACTGCGATGAGAATCTTCAGACCCAGGCTTGAGTGAGAAGTAGAAAGGATCCCTTATGGGTTACTACACTTGTGCCATGGTGTTGATCCGTCGTCTAAATCTAAACCTAAACCTAAACCCTGGCAGGTAAAGCCGCCTCAGGAAGTAAATCTCCCTAAAACAGAATGAATAACTTTAATGTTTTACGAGAGACAGTATGACTTAAGACATAAGACATGGTTTGGATATTGATTTCTCTATGATTCGGAGCCGCGCAACGTGAAAACCTCACAAGAGTTCACAGTTGCTACATCCACCAGTTCAGAAGAGGAATCATCAGTGTAAACAATAAGAAACATGCATAGTAGATCTAAGCACTTGTGAGTATTTCCGGAATGCAAAGAAGGTGATCTTGCAAGGAAAATTGAACAGGCGACAAACTGGGTTTTTGTATTTAAAAACTGAGTTCATAACCTCACGTCACAGACTGCTATTACAATAATACTCTACCTGTGGGTTCTAGGGCCCCATATTTAAGGGGTGGAGAGGATAAACCCACTGCACCCAGCTCCCAATTAGCATGTCGTAAAACTCGATTAATTAAGGTGTTTCGTGCAACATTGGAGTGTTTATGTTTGAAAGGCTAGGGACCAACAGTCTGCTTAACTCTTTACGGACGTTTGGCCAGTATACTGGCGATTAAGTCTATCCTTAAAGACATATCGCCAGTATACTGGATCATGAAAGAGACACTCTAATTTGGTTCCGTTTGTTTAAAAAAAAAAGCCTAATTAGTAAAACGGGCCTGCAAGCAAAACTCAAGTTATTGAACAAGACACAAGTCCAGAACTGGATGAACAACCAGAACTTTAAGCCGGAGTTTACAAAGGGCGAAAGCGAAAAAGTCACTAATGTTTTCAAATCCAAAATATTCGTATTTTACAGAAACAATATTTTAGATTAAAAAATGAAACAGGCCACGTTTAGACATGCAAGAGTTACAACGACTAGTAGGGAAGAAGCGGTAAACAGAACAGAGTTATGCGATAGGAGTTCAGAAATGTGCACCGTGTAAAGAGTTACCAAGACACGCACAATAAGTTGTCTGGTACTGCAACAGTCTCATGGTAGCCGTTATAATTTCAGTTTGATTGCAGTTGCGGAAAAAAATATGGCAGCTCAGGAAATCACGGTGTCTATAAAAAGACCGAGGCACCCAGAAAACTGACTATGTAGCTCTCTCGGCGTGCTCTCATCTGGCCGTTGTCAAATGCCCAGTGACAGCTGATGCTCATCGCAGGTGCGATAGACCGGGCCGATTTAGAGAGTCTAGCTCATTGATTACAGTGGTGATATGTTCTATGGTTAGTTTCGATATTAGATATAAATTTTCTCCAGTAGTAAAACTGCGTAGACTTAGATATCAGTGTGTATCATCGTTCGGAGATATTTGATTCTATGTCGTTAGGAAAGAATATTCATTTTTGTTAGTTGAAGTGCTTAGCGCGTGGCATGTGTGAACACGACGTTGGCTGTTAATGTATTGTTATATGTGAAGCAAGTTAGTTTTGTGTTCTGTAAAATAAACAGCTGTTGAATGTGATGGTTATATTCATTATTTGCTTGACTCAAATATAGAACTTGTTGTTTGCACGTGGCTTGGCTAGGCCTTGTCAATGTAGTAATATGTAGATGTAGTCTATTTTTGTTGTTGAGCAATACTATTATTCGCATATCCTTTGCCAGGGTTTTGATAATCATGTTTCATGGTCCCTGCACAGAAGAACCCTTGTATTTTCTCTACTTTTCCTGTTTTGCTATTTAGCGGGAAACTACTTATTGTCCTAACCACAATTTAGTTTTCCTCATCTCCCTTCTTCTATGTTTTTCCTTCTTCCCGCTAGCACAGAAAGAATCAACAATGACAACCTACCTGAAAGACACTAACAACCTTCAGTTTGAAGAACATAGGCCCAAACAACAGGGCCCCGGTTAGAGGAGCCAAAACAGCCCCAAAGCTGCAGATCCAGTACATGGTTCCGTATTGATAGATCTCTGCTGGAGTCCCAAGCAACGTGGAAGCCGAGAAAAATGTCGCCAGCACGGAAAGAGACAGTGGTAGGCACTTCATGTCGTTCCCGGCCATGAGAAACTTCTTGGTGCTGTTTTGGCCACCTCCTTTGCACGCATAGAACACTCCTATAGCGGCCGAGACCAACAGAGTTGCTGAGAAGACCACGTAGTCCGCCGCTGAAAATGATCTCAAGCTTGTTGGCATGTCGGCGACAGGGAGGGCTGTGTGGCAAAGAAACACATTTTAGTTGCACTTGGCGTAAATGATTGCATGAGCTGATGTGTATACACACAAATATGGAGAGAGAGAGAGAGAGAGAGAGAGAGAGAGAGAGAGAGAGAGAGAGAGAGAGAGAGAGAGAGAGAGAGAGAGAGAGAGAGAGAGAGGATGAAACTAGCGAGAGAAACCCAATCCCTACCTCTTTCGCACATACGCATATTCATATGTTCATTATAGAATAATCGGACGACAGGGCAGTAACCTGGATACGTTTGGTAACTGACTTAGACTCTCACAAAGTACTAAAAGTTTGATTTGTCAACACGTCGACGGCATGGACAGCCTTGGTAGTCGGTGATGACCGCCACACAGTGCCAACTGACACCTTGCTCAGCGCAATAGTAGCGTTGACAACTAGTTAGCTGTTGTTGACTACCAGCTCTTGGTTGTACTGCAGGAATCAGATTCATGTGGCCGTAGAGACAGGGGTAAGAGCACTGATAGATCGGCATTCACACCCATAAAATATCATCTACACAGATGGCTCCGTGAAGCGCGGATCAAGGTCCTCATGGGCATACACAGTGCAAAGGATGGTGAAAACAATACAGGAGGACAGCAGTGCCTACCAGATAACCACATCAAGCATGACCTTGGAGATAGTCGCTGCTTCTAGAGCACTAGCGTGGGTATCCGAGCAAACAGCCACACAGGCAGTAATTGTATCAGACTCCATGAACATGCTTCAGAAGATAGCACAGACGGTATGCGCTCTGAATAAATAGAAAGCATTGGAAAATCGCACTCAACCTAACTCACCTGGATATATACACCTGGTCATGCGGGCGTAAAGGGCAATGAGCGAGCAAACCAACTGGCTAGCAATGCACCACCAAAACATGTGGGAAGAAGCATGGATATAGCAGATATCGTCAACGCGGTACGGACTGGCTTAGTGGATAATGACAATTCGACTGCATGACACGGGAGTAAGCACGATGACGCACGTCTATGCAGCCTTCGAGGCCGAGATAGGAGACAGTATAACCAACTTCCCATGGGAACAATTAGTAGAAGTATCCTAGAGTGGCTGGTTCATCGGAGGAATGAGCACGCATGGGAATGCCTAATGTGTAGTGACGTCGATTGTGATAACATAACAAAACCTACATAATTAGGTATGATCATAGGTTTGAACTTTCCATACAGTAAATCCAGTAACGTGCTCTGTGCCTATATACACTATCTAGTCTGTGCACATTCTCTAGTCTGTGCATGTACACACTCTCTAGTATGTGCCAATACACACTCTCTAGTCTGTGCCTGTACACATTCTCTAGTCTGTACAAGTACACACTCTCTAGTCTGTGCCTGTACATACTCTCTTGATTGTACCCGGGCATACGCAACGAACTCGGGCCCAGCGCACTGTGCTGAGTAACGAAGTTGGACCCAATACACTGTGACTGGATGTCCATTTATGCGTCTTAACCTTTCAGATGGGTAAGTTTGAGTCGCAGGTGTGTCAGGTGCGACGTTGTGTTACGTCGACGGTCTTACCGACGACCACGCGTCCTCTATATTACAAGATGTGAGCGCTTTTAACGACCCCATAACATGTATAACTGGCCATAACCCCAACCCCCTACCCACACATATTCTATGCCCCGTGGTTTCAGACTTCTTAACATTTTGCGGTGGCCCACGGCTTTCATATATGCACCAGCAACCACTAATTCTGCTCACACTGGGACACCCCTCTAGCGCAGACCAACCTGAGCAAGCGTAATTGACAGGTCAGCTAGTGTTTAGCTGGGCTAGAGTCCGTTACCAGTTCCTGTGCCTGTACACAGTCTTTAGTCTGCTACCTATTCACTCATTGAAATATTACCCCCCCCCCCCCCCCCCCAATACATCCTCATCACGACCTCACGCTACTTCAACCGGCAAGCTACGCTTTCCATCAGAATAAAACACAGTGCATAGAATAACTGTCACATGACACGTTGTATTTCACCGACTGAAGGCTACTGAATCAAGCTGCAACCGAGCTTTCCACCTGCGGTCGGTTTCACGTGGAATCCACTTTTCTCGCGATCCCAGTTTTGCCCACCGTTGCTAGTGAATTTCAAGCAACAGCTGCGCCACAACCTAAGTGGCTCACACATCTACACTATTATGTCAGCCAATTCATGAATAACAATGTACACTCACACTCCATTAACACCTGACATACTTTCCCACTAAAGTGAGTTTAGGGCACAGCAGTTGTCTTGTTTCAACATTACTGCTATCGCTCTAATCTTCTTCTTCTTCGTCATTTTTTCGCGTAAACTTCGGAGGAAAGTTTTGCTTGTTCATTCACCTTTAGTCTTGTTCCAGAACCTGAGTGCTGAGTGCACATCCGTTGTACATATCTAACCTATCTGTATGCAGATTGTTGGTTCCTTGTTTCTCAGGCAGATTCACTTCGACTTCGAACTGAACACCCAATTAGTCGACTCTTACGACAGGTTTTTTGGGGAAGCAGTGGGTCTATTTTTGTTTTCCCCACAATGGGACTCCGGAACCCACAACCGAGAACTCTAATCTAATTTTGCTATTTTAATTACTTATGAAGGTCCATGTACAGAAAGATAGACAGACAGACATATGAAGCGAGAAATGTCACAGTTGTAGATGTACGGTTGTTCCTACCTGTTCATAAAATATGGCTAGATTCTAAATCCACGTACGTAGTTCTGAATCCGCGATGTTTACTTATCTGGAGTAAGTAAAACATAATATCAAACACATAACATAAGCCGTGTTCAACCTTCATCGCTGTCCTGGTATAACTTCTGTGAATCGCGGTCCACATATACAAGAGCTGTGTGTTTTTTCTTGTTATAGAAACTGTGTGAATTCAGATAACGCTTCGCACAACGACCTGATAATGACAACATTCAAAAGCAGCAGTTGCTGATGTAGGACCAACTATAATTATATTAGGGTGGAGTGGCACAAAGCAGGATGTTATCTCTCTCGACACCCGGAGCTGTACAAAAAAAAAAAAAAAGGACGTTAAAAAGGAGTGGCGTATATGACAGCAGATACGTGTCCATCGTCTTAATTTCTCTCATAATCTAGGAGAACGGGAGCACATTCTTCGCCACACTTCACTTGACTATAAGAATATCTTTTTCTTCCAGTGTGTCATGTCCATTTCTGAATGTCAACTGTCCAGTTCACCACGCTCCACACCCATTTTCAGTGGCGAAGAACCTATTTTTTTTTTAAAAAAAAAATGTGTCCCTTATCCTTTACAGGACGTTGCAGAACCAATCCCAGCACTTTCTGGCTGTTGTGGTTTTTCTAGGCAAATTTACGTCCAGTAGTTTGCAATTCCTTCTGGGCGGTCGGCTCTCGGTACCACAGTCGAAACCATCGCAAGACAAACCATTCGTAGCAGGGATCGAACCCGGCACCCCGACATTACGAAGCGCGTTCACAACGCCTATGTCACAGACGCCGACGAAAAACATATACATCGGCTAAAAAAAATATTACTCGTATTCCGTTGAAGTACTTCTATAACTCACTCCTGGTAATATGACATGCAGCAGAATATTTATACGTAAGGTCGCTCACAGGCAATTAATTTGTGCTACCAATGAAGACGCAATTTCTACTCACTAAGACACCGGATAGCATATAGTTAAACATCAAAGATATAAAGCTACGTCGATTAAGAATCTACCCATATTTTGCGAACAGATGGGATCAACCATTCATCTACAGTTGTAGCCTTTCTCGCGTCACACGCAGGTATCTGTATGTGTGTTGGGGATTACCCTTATACGTGCACAGACAGGCGTTCATTCATACACACGTATATCTGAACGTCTGCCTATGCATGTATAGTGGGAGATTAAGTACTTCATAAGGGCATATACAGACAACTCAGAAGATACACTGATGAGAGTGAAGTGAAAGGAAGGGGGGGGGAGGTTCTCAGTAGAAAGATATTGCATATAGGTTAATGAACATCAAAAGATGTGCAGGGAAATGAAGACGCAACGCAACGCAGGAAGTGAGTGAAACAGTGATGTTGACCTCATTAGTGAAGGCGGCACTAGATGCTGATGTCGATGATAGTCCAGTCAGTTTCGTAGAAACTACTCACATATGTTTTAGTTTCGCACAAACCGTTTGACGTCTGCTGCCAGCCACAACGGAGACAAACAAGACTCGCCTGGTCCTGTTGGAACAATAAAATATACTAGTGTCTTCGTGATGGAGAGGTAATGTCTGGGTGAAGCTGACACCCACCAGTGTTGTTGTTGCTGTGTAAGTTCCCCAACAAAAGACACACATTTTTCGTTTTCTGTTTGGTTTGTTCATGGACACATTATTATTAAATATTATTGGAGGGCGACAGGCTGCTTTTTAGTTTTTATATTTTCCCTTAGTGATAAGATAATGGCCCAATCCCTGTGGCGTCTGTTCTAGTTTAGCGATATAAACATATTCACGAAACATGTGGCTGTTATGTTAGTCAATAGTTACAGTCGGTATTGCTGCTTAATCTCGTCGTTACAATGATGTTGTTTTAAAAACAAAACGCTCTGTTGTTTGTAGAAGACATAAAAGAGGATAATGTTTCCAGATACGAATGTCTTGTCCAGCAGTTATTTTGCTAGTCAAACAGCTGTAACAGAGAAACTCACACACACACTGTAGTCTGCTATGTTTGCTGGTGCTCGTTGTTTGTATAATTGTATAATAAAGTGTTGTTCATGTTCACGATATGTCAGTGAATATATATATATATATATATATATATATATATATATATATATATGTGTGCATATGTGAGGTTAATGCATTTAAAACAGAGCAATTGTAAATATGCATAGAAGGCAGTAGATGACTTATCCAAGTATAATTTCCTTTACAAATAATAATTGGAAAAAAATTAACAAATACAATTTATTTTATATAGACACATCATTATAGCAGATTATTATTATTAGTAGCATTGGTAGAAATTACAGTAGTTGTTGGTGTTACTGATTTTGTATTTATATAATTAATATCCTGTTCAATTTGTATTTATATGATTAATATCCTGTTCAATTTGTATTTATATAATTAATATCCTGTTCAACCCTTGTGGATTATAATTAGGATCTGCAACTTGGAGCATGAGGATAGAGGTAGAGGCAGTGTTTAGTGGAGGAATCTTCTTCTACACATAAAGTGACCAAAAACACATGGTGAATGGAGCTAGAGAGTGAAGATAAACAGATGGGGTGGACATGCAGTAGCAAAGGATAAGGCTACTTGGCTTGAGTTGTTTGAGGGCCTACTCTCCGTTGGGGATAAAGGGCAGAAGAATCTTTTTCTTCTCTTTTTCTTCTTCTTCTTCTTCTTCTTCTTCTTCTTCTTCTTCTTCTTCTTCTTCTTCTTCTTCGTGCGCACTGGCTGTAAACTCCAGCAGACAGTTCTGATTTTTCAAAAACTTCTGAACTTTGGCCTTCTTCCAGAACTTGAGTTTTGCGTACATATCCATTTCATAGGGTCTGATTCTCAGTCAGTATTGCAAAAGGTTAAAAAAGAAAACACATATGTAGGGCATACCAAGAAACATGACCTTGTCAACAATACAGAGGCTCACATTGTTATACTTTCTGAGATAGGCACGAGTGCGGGGCAATGAACAAGCAGATTTTTCGGCTACAAAGGTGGCTAACTTAGGAACCGTCATAATAGATTAGGAATGTATTCTGAAGAAAATATTTTAAAGTAAGACTTACTGTCTAGGGGAAAAAAAAGGATTAAATAAGATAAATGTAAAATATGACAGATGTCAGTGGACACAAGCGTTAATGTGTGATTATTGTAACTTCTTAGACTTGGCTGTCTTCAGCTGGCAGGTGAATGTCATTAATGCCATTGTCGTGACATCAACTACATGATGCAGGCCGTATCACCACAGTCTGACAGAAGGCTTTTGGATAGGAAGCAAACTCCTAGCCCACTCATGGAGGTCAGATAGTAAGTGATTCTGATAGAGCAGTTATTTTATTTCCTAACACAACAGCTTGTTCATGTTTGATTATCTGTTTCTGAAGAGTATAGCCTTGTTTGTTCCTATCTGATTGATTGAAATGATTGACTGTTTCATGACAGTACAGCTTTTTTCCTATCTCATTGAATGACTGTTTTGAGGCAGTACATCATTGTTTATATCTGACTTATTGACTGTTTCAGGGTGATTGATTGACTGTTTCAGGGTGATTGACTGACTTTTTCAAGGTTGATGGATTGATCCTGATTGACACTTTTAAGCTTGGATTGATTGATTTTTCTTTCAAGCATGTTTGATTAGATCTGTTAGGACCGATTTGTTAAAGCTCTGAATAATTAGTAACTTTTTATAGATCTTAACTCTTTCAGTCCCAAGAACGCATCATATGTTCATAAGTTCCTACCTAGAAGCCTGTCGCGTGCGGATGTGCACTAGAACGCACCAGTACTGAGTGAGCAAATAGGACGTCAAAACAATACGTAAGGTTGTGAAGGAATTGTTGTCAAAGACATTCGATATTTACAGTCTAAAGGAGACAGATGTGTGGATCCTTGAGGATGCTTTACCCCGGGATGCCACTGAAGGAATGGTAATCAAAGTTGGATCCTTGAGGACGCTCTACCCGGGGACTCCACTATAAAACCTCATCAGATAGCTGGCATATTGTCTACTACGTTCGGCAGTAAGCCGGTATACTTATATTACCTTGTTCAGACTGCAGAAGAGAAGATCGAGATGAATGTCCGGATTTCCAAGGTCGGATTGAAATCGATGTGACTGTCCGGATTTCCATGGTCGGACTGCGACCCGTCATTTGTTATGAAGTCAGTTGATGTCGAGTGGGCTTGTGTTGGTGTGTTTGGATGAGGCTTGAGTTGTATTTAATCACACATTTTCGCATCTGTTGATCGAGTGTATACATCAATACACCTGTTGGAACCTAACTCATAACGTTCATTGTTCTACTGCTTGAAGCATTGTAGTTCCTACTGTTATACCCCACTTGGCCTATTTCATCGTTGGTACGCCACACATCACCATGCAGCCTCCGCACGTCACAAAGCCCACCTAACATAATGTGTGCGAATGTTACTTCTCTCTTTACTACCCCTTGGGCCTCTGATGCTAAACTCCTTGGAATTGAAAGAGTTAATGCAAATGTTTCTTAATGCAAATGTTTCTTACGTGCGTTTACCACCATTTGTCCTTTCTTTACATGTGACTTGTGTTGAGTTTTAAATGGGACTCTTGGAGTAAACCAAAAATAACTGTTACTAGCCTAAGGATGCAGTTTTGTGTCAAAGGAGGATGTGGGAGATTTATATGTTATCACTGGTCATTTCTGTTTTTGTGTTTTTTCCCAGCCGAAGGTATAGAGAGGTCAGCTCCAGCCAAGAGTCTTTATTTACTCCACCACCACTTCCAAGGCCATCATCTCAGAACAGTTCAGCAATACTGAAGGAAAGGTACACAGTCCAGCTGTCTGTAGTCTTCTCTACATGAACTGTTAACAGAACATTGTACAGTTTAATGATGTTTTTAGTTGGTCTCTACTTTAGCTACTGGGTACAGTCAAACTATTTGTATTTAAACTTTGCTTAACTACTGACTGGGAGTTGCCGTGGCATAGCGGCTACACGCTCGCATGCGAATCGGAAAGTCGTGGGTTTGCTCCCTGGCAGAGCCAGACTTTAAAAAAAATGACCTTGACTCCCAGGTCGACCCAGCCTTGAGTGGGTACCGGGTGCAGTCCCGGTAAGTAAAGGCAGCCAGCTTGATGCTGACCACATCACCCATCTTGTGCCGATTAGTCTATAAAAATATAGGTCTAGCCCTGTATGCCCTATACGCCTAAAGGCGTGGAAAAGGGACCTTTACTTACTTTTACTTAACTACTGATTGAACATTGTACAGTTTAATCCAGTCTGTCTTGTTTTCTACATGAACAGCTGCTTGACCGTTGCATTGTTTTACAGCTTGTCTTGTTCTCTACATAAACTACAGATTGATCATTGCATAGTTCAACAGTTCCCTGCATGAACAACTGACAAAACATTGCACTGTTTAACAGTGTATCTTGTTCTTTACGCAAACTATTGACAGTCAGAGTGTATACAAAATCTGTCTTGTTCTCTGCATGACCTATTGATTAATCATTGCACAGTTTAACAGCTTGTCCTGTTCGCTACAGAAACTACTAACGGTTTAACACAATCTATTTTGTGCTCTACATGACCTACTGATTGATCATTGCACAGTTTAACAGCTTGTCCTGTTCGCTACAGAAACTACTAACGGTTTAACACAATTTATTTTGTGCTCTACATGACCTACTGATTGATCATTGCACAGTTTAACAGCTTGTCCTGTTCGCTACAGAAACTACTAACGGTTTAACACAATCTATTTTGTGCTCTACATGACCTACTGATTGATCATTGCACAGTTTAACAGCTTGTCCTGTTCGCTACAGAAACTACTAACGGTTTAACACAATCTATTTTGTGCTCTACATGACCTACTGATTGATCATTGCACAGTTTAACAGCTTGTCCTGTTCACTACAGAAACTACTAACAAAGATTAACACAATCTATTTTGTGCTCTACACGACCTAATGATTGATCTTTGCACAGTTGAACAGCTTGTCCTGTTCACTACAGAAACTACTAATAGAGTTTAACACAATCTATTTTGTGCTCTACATGACTTACTGATTGATCATTGCACAGTTTAACAGCTAGTCTTGTTCTTTACATTAACTACTGACAAAACATTGCTCAGTTCAGCAGTCTGTTCTGTACATGAACTACTGACAGAATGTTGCACAGTGTAACACTGTATGTCTTGCTCTCTGTATAATATTCTAGACAGCAGGCATGATAAAACACTTTTTGTTCTGTCTTTTCTTCTGAAGGACTTACACAATATAACATTATTTGTCCTGTTTATTCCTTTACCAGGGCTATTCAACTGGCGGCCCGTGGGCAAAATCTGGTCCGCTGAGGCCTAGCAAGTATCCCGCAGATAACTTCTAGCTGTATTGTATTTTCGATCTTTCTATGCTGGGGCTGAGGTCTCTTGCCCTTGGCGATCCCCGTTTTTGAACATTTTGGCCCCTAAGCCAACTTAGATGAATAGCCCTGCTTTACACGATGTATAGTTTTTATGTTACACTCCAGCTATGTTGTTTATTCCATTACACATTGTATAGTTTTTATGTTACACTCCAGCTATGTTGTTTATTCCATTACACATTGTATAGTTTTATGGCACACTACAGCCATTTGTTTATTCCATGTGTCACACTCCAGCTGTTCTACTCATTTCTTTACATAATGTATAGTTTTTTTGTCACATTACAGACATTATGTTTATACTTTTACACAATGTATAGTTTATCTGTCACACTAAAGCTATAATGTTTATTCTGTGACAATGTATAATTTTTATGTCACCCTACAACCATTCTACTTTTTCTTTACATGATGTGTAGTTTTTATGTCACACTCCAGCTTTTCTGTTTATCTCTTCACAGTCAAATCAAGTACAGTTTTAACACTTTGCCTGATACATTCTGAATGTGCCATGATTGCACACATTTTGTTAACTGTGATTTAACACATATGTTATTATGCACATTCATTGGCAGTGATGAAGGAATGAAGGAGGGATCTTCATCATTCAACTCCCCTATTGGCAGTCGCAGCTCCACACCTGATAAACTCCCCAACATTTTCGATGGCAACCCATCTTTCCACGACTGCCTGTCGGATGGCGAGCGTGGCTTCCCAGATTTTAGCACAAACAGTTCGTACGAGAAGAGGCCAAGGTCAGCTCTGGATAATTATGACATGGCCTCCTTGATACCTCGGGGAATTCGGGATCGCTCATTTGAGCGCTCGTTGGATAACATATTAGGTAAACACTTTTATTAGGGAAATCTGGACAGATGGCTAACATTATCTGCTTGACAACTAAGAAAGTATGAATCGTTTTGAAATGTTCACATTGCTGCTTGGAAAACTGAAAGAGTACATTGTCAGTTACTGGGGTCTTGTTAATCCTGTGTCAGTGTCTGTTCACTTAGGTTTTCAATACAGTGTTCTAATTCTGGTATACTGGATATGACTCCGATGCAGACCACTTAAGGTTGACAGCGTTGGAAAACAATGGCAAACTACTGAACATAAATGGTTTAGTAAAACTACAAACAACCAACAAATGCTCTTAGTTGGTTTTGTGAGGTCCTATGAGAGATAGAGAACTAACTAGACCCAGCACTATCAGTATTTTGGGATTCACCACTCAGACTGTTTGGTTTGTGTTGTGTGCTTCTTTCCCGTGAGTCCTTGTTATCATCACCGAATCCATGCTTTTCTGCCTTTGATCCCCCAGTGGAGCAGAAGTTCTAAACCAGGGCTATTCAACTAACGGCTTGCGGGCCAGATTTGGCCGTGGAGGCCTAGCAAGTAGCCTGTGGATCACTGCTAGTTGTATTATTGATCTATCTGTACTGGGGCTCAGGCCTCTGGACTGTGACGATTCCCATTTTAGCATTTTGGCCACTATGTAAACTTAGTTGAATAGCCCTGCTGGAAACCAACACATGTTAAGCCCTCCTTATCCTTGCTGTCCCCTGCAGCTCCTTCCATATTCTCTCATAGGATTTGTGTCTCTAATGCCCCAGTCCAGTTATTTTTATTTCTTCATCTGTTTCTTTTGCACTGTAGGTTGGTGAAAAAGAAAGTTTAATTTTTTTAGTTATACTCTTATCCAAGGCTTTTTTCTGTCTGGAATGAAAGGTGCCAGTACTTACTACAAAGTATCCATTATATATTCACGTGACTTAACCCTACCAGACGGCTGGCCCGGTTTACCGGGGATTTCTTAACCTGTCTGTATACCGCTGGCCCTAATTTACAGCGGGAAAACGATGCATCACGGACTAAAAATAACCACCCAGTTGTTATCAGTCCTCTTTGTTAGACATTGCAAATGTCTGCCCGCATGTGTTTGGATTATATTTGTGTTGTTTTACGTGGAAAAATTCTGAAAATTCACATTGAAACGAGCGGCTGATGAACCAAGTTCTAAGCTTTTCACAGTAAAAACAGGTGATCGATACTTTGGTTTATTCACACTCTGTGATATATATATATTCATTATCTGTGATAATTTTATAAAGAATACGTTCTTGAAGTGACACTGTCAGTGAGAGCGCGAATGATGAGGAAAATCTTGAAAATTATCAATCATGAAATAGATCGATAGTAGGAGGAGGGGGTGTGTCCATCAAACGGCAACATCTGGTGTTCACTTTGTGAAACAAAGTTGATCCTGATGAGTGAATTCACACACAAAGGTGGAATATTGGCGCTAGATAAAAGATAAGCCTATTTTCTACAATGTCTCCAAGTTTCATCATATTCTAGCCACTCGTTTGCATGTAACTAATATTTTTGTGTATCATGTTGGTTTTTTCGCGGTAATGCCCAGGAGCTCAGGTTATAGGGACAGTTAGGTTCAGGGCCTCAGGTCTGGTATGGTTAAAACAATTGTAAATGAAAACACTTGTACTGTTTTATGATCAATCACTTTTTAAGCCATGGCCCATTTTGTGTTCAGTAATATATGACATTGTACTATATGGTTATTTTTGCTCGTGTCGTCAATATTATGAACAGATAAATGCTCTGAGAAGTCTCTGGATCTGACCCTGCCGATAGATTCCTGGAGCTCGTTGTCCCAGGATGGGGGGAAGTCACCTGACCAGCTCTCAGGCAGCAGTGGCAACAAGGCATCCAAGTCTGAGAAAAAGAAGAATCGCTGGTACAACGTGAGTACAGGCACACTGTGCCAGCTGCAGCTGTAGCTGTTGTTGTGTTCATATTCATTTCTCTGCTCCTGGAATGCCTCGCAGTGTCAGTCAGTGCCGGACAATATCTCTGGAACAGGCCATTCTGTTTACTTCGCAAATATTGCTTTTCAGTAGCTCTGATATTTCTGTGGTCCATCTTTTGCATGATAAACCTGTTGCTGCGTTACCACTGTATCTGTGAAACATTGCTCTTTGCGGTGCCCTGTTTTTGCGAATCTTGTTACATGGCCAAACCATTTGATCTGTTGTCTGCTGATAAAATTCAGTATTGTTTCTATGCCAGCTTCCCCCCTGATTACATCTAGCATGATACATAAATGTTTCAATTCTGTCGTGATTATTTTTCTATCTTCTGGAGACATTGTCCATGTTTGACACTGATAGCATAGTGTTGGTAAGAATACTGAGTTGAGCAGTGCTCTTTTTTTTTTGATATCCACATGCTTGCATTTCTTCTTCATCTTCTTTGTGTTCACCGGCTGTAAACTCCAGCAGAAAGTTCTGGTTGTTTGTCCACCTTAGGATTTTAGTCTTGTTTCAATACCTGAGTGTTGTATGCACATCATTTCACACATCTGGCTGCAGACTCTTGATTCCTTGCCTCTCGGGCAGATGCACTCTACCTTTGAAGAATGCCCCCAATTAGTTGACTCTTATGACATGCTTGTTGACGAGGCAGTGGGTCTGTTTCTGTTTTCCCTAAAATGGGAACCCAGAACCCGCACATGGAGCTTGCAGTTCATTATTGGTGCCACATGTTCTATAACTTGATTGGCCTTAATGCATGTTTTTTTTTTTGCGTTTCTTTATTCATGACTGTTGTTGCTAAAGTGGGGTGCTTATAGTAATCCTGCTACAGAGGTGACACAGATCTTCTGTTTGATATTTTCTGGCAGTTTGAAAAAAAAATTGTTTTGTCTGTTCTTAATCTGGTTTCTTTGGTTGATAGAGAGTCTGCTTTACCTCACTAGGGTAATGTTGTTTCATGCTGATGTGTGATAATCTGGCATGCTATAAGTAGTATTTGTGGCTGTGTTTCTGTTGGAGAACATGTCTTCACATGAGTGGTTTCCGAGAGAGTATATATCAGACAGTTGGAATCTGGCAGGAGTCTCAGGTATACATTTGTTAGACAGTAGGAGTGTGGCAAGAGTGGCAGATATACAATTTTTAGACAGTTGGAGTCTGGCAAGAGTGGAAGATGTACATTCATCAGACAATAGGAGTCTGGCAAGAGTGGAAGATGTACATTCATCAGACAATAGAAGTCTGGCAAGAGTGGAAGATGTACATTCATCATACAGTAGGAGTCTGTTAGGAGTTTTAGAGGTATATTTGTCAGCCAGGACCCTGGAAGTGTTCAAGAGGATAGACAGACCAGCAAGATGATTATAGCAAGAAAGTAGCCAAGGAGGTAGGTTGGATGAGCACGAGTGACCAAAGAAGTATAATGGTTCAGAACATGAGTGACCAGTGAGATAATGGGCTAAATTATTCTAGGGACCAGGACTGATGAATGAACCTTGCCAAAGAAATGCCCAGGAAGTTAAATGAAGCAGACCTAGGGAGTGGCCGGGGATATGACTAGATTTTGAGGATCAAGAAAATTGTGGAGTGAGACCGAGGAAAGATTAGGGTATTCATTGATCTTTGTCAGATTTTTGGTAAATCAACTTAATGAGATGTTTGACCTGCATCACTCTTTTTATTCTTGCTTACTGATGTTATTAACTGACTGTTCTGTCTTACAGTTTACTCTTTGTTATATTCCTACTTACTGATGTTATTTACTGACTGTTCTGTCTTACTGTTTACTCTTTGTTATATTCCTACTTACTGATGTTATTAACTGACTGTGTTCTGTCTTACAGTTTACTGTTTATTATATTCCTGCTTACTGATTTTATTTACTGTTCTGTCTTACTGTTTACTTTTTGTTAATTTCCTACTTACTGATGTTATTTACTGACTGTCTTCTGTCTTACAGTTTACTGTTTGTTATATTCCTACTTACTGATGTTATTTACTGGCTGTTCTGTCTAATGAATTACTGTTTGTCGTATTCCTGCTTACTGATGTTATTTACTGACTGTTCTCACTTACTGTTTACTGTGTGTTAAAGTTAAAGCTGAGAAGATCACCCTTATTGCCCTGGATTATCCTGCAAGGCTTGGTCTGTCACTGCAGAACTTCTAGCCATCTGTTTAGAGCAGTGATGAAGCATAGCTCCAGTGATCCCCATAATATAATGCTCCCGTGAAGTGAATGACATGTCCATGAAATGAACCAACCTTCAGAACGTCAGGCAAACAGCCTGACCACTTCACTATTTAGCAGTTTGTATTTCTGCTTCCTGATGTTGTTTAATGTTTCTGTATTATCTGACTAATGTTTCAGATCATGAGCTCTACGTACAAATCTAGGAGTGAGGATTACCACAAGATGTTCAAAGATGTCCCCCGACAAGAAAGGCTTATTGTTGGTTGGTGAATGTTTTCATGAAACTCTGTGTATACTCTAGGCATATTGACATGAAAGGTCATTTGTTGCTGGGTTGGTCCAAAAAGCTTTTAGGCCATAGATGGCTAGGTTTTATGTATACCGGTCAATGTACAATATGGGATTGGATATTTTATCTTTAGTCATAACATGCTACATGCTGATCTGATCCCAGCAGACTTCTGTGTTGATATCTTCAGCTAACTGCTGCAACACCTGGTACTTATTAGAGACCGTAACTGAGAACTGTTCCTTAATTTCTTTATCTCTGAGAAAGCCTACATTATATTGGTTTCTATGATTATAAGATGTTATATATCTTTTTAGTTTCAACCTGATTTTACTTACCACCAAGAAATGGTCAGTAAATACATCGGCACCTCTGAAAGCCCTAACATCGTAAAGGGATGATCTAAACTTTTTGTTAATACATATGTGGTCAATTTGATTAGTTGTCTTATGGTCTGGTGATTCCCATGTTGCCTTGTGTATACTTTTATGGGGAAAAATACTTCCACCAATAACATACTGGTTACCTGCACAAAAATTTGTGAACAATTCTCCATTTTCATTCATTACTCCTAGACCATGTCTCCCCATAATTTCTTCATAACCTGTGTTGTCAGATCCTATCTTAGCATTCAAGTCACCCATCAAAATTTTTAAGTTGCCCTTTCTTTCATTATTTATAATATTTTGAAGCTGCATGTAAAAATCTTCCTTAACAGATGCATCTTTATCATTTGTTGGTGCATAACACTGTATTACCGACATGTTCACCTTCTGTTTTACTGTTCTAAAAGATGCTCTTATTATTCTGGGACTCACAGCTTCCCATTCTATTACCAGTCTTCCATCTGAGGTGAAAAATAAGCTGGATATTTAAATTCGCTTGTTTCTTTTATTGCTGGGTTATTTACTTAAATTGGTATGGTTTCTTCTTGTCTGCTGTTATCATTGCCTCTGTCTTATCAATGCTAATCCTCATATTATGTTTCTCACACTTAGTATTGACTTGGTTTGTATGGTTCTGTAAACTCTCTTCTGTTTCAGCTATTAATACTTGGTCATTTGCAAATAACAATTCTGAGATATCTTTTCTTTGCTCTCTGCTTCTATGCATATATTGTCGTTGTATGTTATAAAAAGCAGGGGAGATAGCACACATCCCTGTCTTACTCCTGAATTTACTTCCCAAAGTTGTGGTATATAAGCTCTTACACACTTCAGTTAGGAGTTTGCTGATTTCATATTTTCTTAAGCAGTTCCACAACATATTCCTATTCACTCTGTCAAATGCTTTATCCTTGTCTTTAAATGCGACTTTGCATGTCTTATCATACTCTGTTGCTCTTTCTGTCAACTGTCTTAATGTAAATATTGCGTCTGTGCAACTTCTGTTACGTCTGAAACCCATCTGGGCTTCTGAAAGTTGTTCTTCCACTAATTTTCCCAATCTTCTTTCGATTAATTTGGTATTCATTTTTCCTTTGCGGCGTCCGGGCTTAGGCGTTGCGAATCCGACTCGCAATTCCAGTGTACCGCGATCGAAACCCACTGCTGGCTGCGTTGATTTTTATCATTGTATGGGGCGCGCAGGTAGACCCAGCCTAAAATGGGTACCAGGATTGCTGTGCTGGGGAAGTAAAGACGGCCGGCGTAATGCTGACCACATTACCCACCTAGTGCTGATGGTTTGTAAAAATATGGGTGCTTTTCCCATATATCAGATACGACTAAAGGCGTGAAAAAGAATCTTTACTTTACTTACATTTTTCCTGTATGACTTAATAGTGATATTCCTCTGTAATTAGTGCACTCTTTCTTACTCCCTTTATTTTTCCATATGGGTATAATTATTGCTGTTTGCCAGTCATCTGGTGTTTCTTGTTCTAGCCAGGCAGTCTTGAAAATTCACCTGACCCATTTTGCTCCTGTTTTTGCAGCTGCTTTGATGGCTTCTGCAGGGAGATCGTCAATACCAGTCACTTTGTGCCTTGGTGCTATCTTTATTACATATTCTACTTCCGTCAATAGAATTGCTGGCTCTAGTTTATCCATCTCTTCTGCTGTGTTTGTTATGGTATTGTTGTTTGCATTGTCATATTCTTGAAATTTAGTAGTTCTTTAAAATAGTTACTCCATCTCTCTAGAATCTTTTTTGTGTGCACTGAGCTGAGATTGATTCTATGGACTCGGGCTTGAGTTAGACGTAGAATGGAGCACTTATGGGTTACTACCATGTGCCATGATGTTGATCCGTTGTTTAAACCTAAACCTAAATAATGCTGGCAACATATTTGTTACTACAAAGCGTGCATAATGGAGCCCTGTGAGAGTAAATATTTTGAACTTTGTTCTTGTTGTTATTTCCCTCCCCCCTTGGCAGCTTCATTACCTTGTAGCAGTGGAAGATTTAAAATGTACAGGAATAGCCAGGATAAAATCTATAGCCCAGCTGTTGTAAAACTGATATTGTCATTGCAAGTATGATTGGACGATTTAATGTATGAACTATGAGACCTAGGTTTATGCTAGTATGACTGGGGTTTTGAATGTATGAACTATGAATCATGGGTTAATGCAAATATGATCGGGCAATTTGATTGAATGAACCTTGACTCCTGGGTTAATGCAAGTATGATTAATATTTGAATTGATGAACTATGAAACCTAGGTTAGATGACTTACTTCTTTTTGAACATTTAACAATTTGAAAGGTGACGTAGTTAATCTCCCAACCCGGTCCCTAGTTAACCACTGGTGGTAATGGGAAATTATACTCTTCTATTAAAAATGCCATTTTTTCATTTGTTCATAACTCCCCCCCCCCCCCTTTTTTTTTCCCCTCCCTTTTCCTCCTCCTTTTCCTCCCTCTCCAGATGTTTTGTTGTGGTTTGTTTTTGTAAATATAATCAATTGCCCTATATGTTAGCACAAGAGTGACATTTATCAGGGACTGGACCCAACCAAAAGTGTCAGTTTTGCAGCCTCTTGGGGCAGCAGGATTAACCAAGGTCTGAGCAATTTATAGACTGCAGATTCTCATTCATGTTTGTATTAACTCAGGTCAGTGGAGTTTACAGATAGCAAATTTTCTATCATACTTGCAATAATCCAGGTCTCAGAAGTTTAGACATTCATACCCCTAATTCTACTTTTAGCAACCCAGGTCAAGAAGTTTAGATATTCAAACCCCCAATAGTAGTTGTATTAACCCAGTCTCCTTTTTCATACATTCAAAAACCAAATCATTCATACGAGGGGAAGACAATAAGTCAGCACAAATGTTTATGGAATGGCAGGAAAATGTAGCTGGTGGTTTTTAAAGGTGTCATTAGGTGACAGCAACATTAAACTTTATGTTTCCGTTTGTTAGGTGGCGCTAGATGTTGCATGTGCATTCGCAATGCAGAAACAAAGGCCACTGTACTTACGGAGTGTACCCTCAAAGAACATCATGCTGTTGTGCGGGATTTTTTTTTTTTTTTTTCAAAAGGGCTGCCTGCAAAGGACATTCATAAGGAAATGCTTCCTGTTTATGCTGACATATCAAAAAAAAATTCTCAAGGACGCTGTTTGATTGTTGATGAAGTCCGATCTGGTCGTCCTGTTGAGATTGCAACAGACACATCAGTGCAGTGGGTTGAGGAGATGATTAGAGGTGACAGGCCAGCAATGGTTGACTCTGTAGCATTTGCTATAGGGTGCTCACATGGTTCAGCATACAACATATTGCATGGTCAATTGAAATTTAAGAAAGTGTGCTCAAGGGGGTACCCAGACAATTGACAGACGAACACACAATGACAAGGCCAGACCACATACGGCTCAGTTAACTCGGGGGAAAGTTAACCATCTAGGGTGGGAATTGATGGAACATCCACCTTACAGCCCCGACTTTTTCCCTACCAGTTTCCACCTAGTTGGGTCCACTGAATACCCACCTTGGCGGGAGACATTTCGCGAATGACAGAAGTTGAATGTGAACATGAAAATGTATGTTTAGAAAATAGCACGCAGTTCAAAGCAGCAGGTTTGGAAGGCCTGATAAAACAATGGAACAAGTGCATCAGTGTTGGTGGAAATAATATTAACAAATAAAGGGACTGTGTATGTGTTTAAAAAAAAAAAAACTAAGTTGTTGTCATCTGTAGTTTTTTTTTCCTTCTTTTCTAAACAACACTTTGTGACTTACTTATTGACTTCCCCTCATATATTAACCCAGGTATTATAGTTCTTACATTCAATCCCCTAGTCTTACTTGCATTAACCCAGGTCTTATAGTTAATACATTCAAACACCATTATATAAATCATACTTGCATTAGTTCTCTGCTGCATTAATGTTTACTGATTACTCCTTTTGTTCTGAATGGAAATTAATAGTGTTTAGTCCATAAATGGAATTGTTAAGATTTTTTAATGAACTGCATAAAATGGTTGTTTTCTTTTATTCCCAAATAGGATCACTGGCTTTGATTTTTTTTAGGTCATCCGGATGAATGGGTTTATTGCTTTCTTCCACAGATTACTCATGTGCTCTCCAGAAAGACATCCTGGCCCAGGGCCGCATGTACATCTCACAGAAGTGGATCTGTTTTTATGCCAAGATCTTCAACTGGGAAACGATGGTCAGTAAATGGAAACTGTTTTGTTGTTGATTTGATTCATCTCACGGTCACATTACTGCTGCACTATTTCTTCACTTGGTGTGCCTGGCTATGAAGCAGCTTCACTCGTCCTTCTTTGACATGGTTCTTCAGTTGGTTTTCGAAAAATGATAAATAGTTGAGACTACCAATCACAGCTCCCAGGTCGACCCAGCCTTGAGTGGGTACTGGATGCAGTCCTGGAAAGTAAAGGTGGCTGGCATGATGCTGACCACATCATCCATCCTGTGCCAATTGATCTATAAAAATATAGGTCTAGCCCTATATGCCCTATACTCCTAAAGGGGGGGAAAAGGGACCATTACCTTTTTTTACTTACCAAGCACAGCCTTGAAGCTGTGGCTATGTATAGGCCGTCAGTATAGGCAGCTGGACAACTGGAAGCTTGTAACCATGTGCTCGCCCAGCTTAAGGTTCCTGGCAGTTGTGGGTCCATCATCAAGTGCTGCTCACACAACCAGTCAGTCCATTGACTAATCACACAACTAATTGATCACTCAGTCTATATTTTGATCATGTGAGTTGAAGTTGGAAACTATCGAACTGTGAATGTGAGGAGTGCCATGTTTATTAGAGCAGAGTTCCTTCAATGACATAGTCACAGTTGACACAAACCAGGCATATTTATGGCTCTAGATGCCTAGATGTTGGCATCTGTGGCTAAGGCGTTGCACACATGCTTCGTAATGCTGGGGTGCTGGGTTCGATCCCAGCTGCAGGCCTTGCGTTGGTTTTGACCTTTTATATCGAGAAGCCGAATGTCTAGAAAGCAGTGGCAAACTACTGGGTGTAAATTTGCCTAGAAAAACCACAACAACCAATGCTGTTGTTGGTTCTGCAATGTCCTGTAAAGGATACGCAACTAGCAGATGCCTAGATAGAGTCCAGACAGAGCTGGAGTTAATTTCCAGAGGGTTGGGAATATTTATTTCAGTCATCTAAGGCTCCAGAATGATCATCAAAGTTTTTCCTGGAAATCTAAGACAGAGAGGAAGAAAATAAAACAAAAAAATTCTTCCTCATACAGCAGTAATTTTTTTAAAGAATTATATTTGAAGTAATTTTTACAGAATAATATTTATATACAGAGGTGTGGATAATAATTTTATTATGTTCATTGCAGCTGATGATACAATGCAAGGAAATCATTGCAATCACGAAGGAGAAAACTGCCAGGGTGATTCCCAACGCTATCCAGATCACCACAGAAAAGGATCGCTACTTCTTTACATCCTTCGGGGCTAGAGACAAGACCTACATGATGCTGTTTAGAATCTGGCAAAATGCATTGCTTGATCAGGTTTGTTGACTTTGTTACTCAGTTATTGTTGATTCTTTAGTTCACTTTGATTTGTTGTCACATATTGATATCTCACATTCTTGTTTAGACTTTTGTCTTTACATTCTTTGATGAAGAGATACCTCACAATCTTTAGAATTGTCCTTACACTCTGGGATGATGAGATACCTAAGTTTTGTGGATACTTTGCTTTTACCGTATGATCGTCCTGAAAAGGTGACAGTTTTATGGGGCTCTCTGGACAGTAGAATTGTTAGAGCTGATGTCACTGGCCTAACAGCTGGCCACCTTTACTTCCCAGGAGTGCACATGGTACCTACTCAAGGCTGGGTCGACCTGTGAGTCAAGGTCGTTTTTTTAAGAAAAAAAACGTCTGGCTCAGCTAGTACGCGAACCCACGGCTTTCCTATCTGCAGGTGGGCATCTAGCCGCCAACGCCACGGCGCCTCCCACAGACCATCATACGATAAGTTAATTTACATCCAAATTTACCTTTTTTTTAAGCATCACCTTATTGCATGCATCCTCATTTGTGTGTGTGCGTGCATGCGTGTGTTCGTGCATGGGGTCATACCTTTTGATTTAGGTGATTTGATATAGATGATCTTGTCTTCACAACTTGTCTTCACAACCAATGATTTCTGATATGGTAATATCATGTCTCTTTTAACACTTCATGACTTCATCAATGAGTAGCTGTCCACCTCTACACTAGATTCAGGCCCTATAATTTTAGCCAATGAGTGTCTGTCTAAACCTACACTAGAATTATGTCCACTCCCACACTATAATTCTATCCACTCTTACACTAGAATTCTTTCTACTCATACACTATTATCTACTGCTACTCTAGAATTCTAGTCACTCCTACACTCAAATTGATTCCACTCCTAAACTAGAATTGTTCCCTGAAATTTCAGCCTATGTCACCGAAAGAACTCTGGACGTGGGTGCATTATGGTTATGGTGATGACCTTGGCCTGACCTCTGATGATGATGATTATGTGGCTCCTCAAGCACTGGAAGAGTTGTCGGAGAAACTGAAGGAAGAGTTCATGTCCAGTAAAGTGAGCCACTTGATGTCTGTTATGATACTACTAGTGGTAATAGGACAATCCTACACACAGTTGATTTGTATCATGTGATTGACATGGTAACATTTAATGATTGGCTGGGACAAAGTTTTAGTCTCAGAATTTAGTTTCAAAACTTTTATTGAATAGATAATCTAGTTGAATAGCTAGACATTTTGAAGCAAATTGATGGCAGAAAAGGGGATTGGCCACTCTTACTGAGATGTGACGTGGGCGGATTTAATGTTTTATATGTTGAGTAAGGATTTTCCTCTCAACACATCCCCTCCACCAGATTAACTAATATCCGAGCTATGATGCTCTCAGACAAAGTCCTGGATATCCAAGTAAAACAGCCATATTGGCTCGTTAAGTACTTTAACATTAGCTGCACTTGGTACCCACAAGAGAAGGAAAGGAGTTTTAGATGTCTATATCATTATACTGAATGAATTATTAGACAGAGCAAATGACTCCCCCGTCCCACCTTCTCCCGGTAAAGATTTATTAATTGAGCCAAATGTAATTCTATCTATCAGTTTAGTTAAACAGGTAAGACTGAATAAACTTGGAATTTAACAAATGATGTAGTATAAAACTTGACATACAGCTTTATTTACTAACAATCAGTTAAATGCTATTTCCCAGTTTGTTGTGGTTACACAAACAGTGACTGGTTAATCTTATGATAGTGATGAGATGCTTCAGCGGGAAAACAGCTCCGGGGTTTAGAGTGGTGTGATGATGGTGATATGTTAACGCAAAAGATGTTAACTCAACTTATAAAACCTCTGACAGCCGTGAGGCACTGTCAAGCTTGTCCACCTCTTCCAGCTTCTTCCCTGCCTGTTTCAGCTTATTCTCCACTTCATTCTCCACCTCGTCCTACACCTCGTTCCCAGCTGGCCAAGTCTAACACAATGTAGTCTCCTTCATGGACTGATCGTCATTAAAACAAACACACACGTGTAGTATCTTGACTTACACTAAGAATACATGTATCAATTAATATAACATATAATGACAAAATATATCCCATCACTCCTCCTCATATTCCACATTCTCTCCATTCTAGTCTGAAGGTCTTTTGTCTTACATGGACGTCACATATCATGCCTTCCCTCTCATGTTCTGTCATGATAGTTGACTTTCTAAGTCTGTTGTCTGTCATCACTCAGACTTCCAAACATTGTTTTTACATGAACAAGTGGAGCAGGTTATGTGCTGAAAACTCCAACCATGTTATATGTGCATGGTGTCTGGAATATTGTCTTTCCAGTGAGCACATGGTCAGCTATTAAAACTCTGCGCATATGGGCATGATTTCCCACAGTCCAAGCACCTGTTTTGGGTTGATCATGGAAACAGTATAATTACATTTCATTATAGCAAATGTCATTGTTCACATCTTATTTTATACACATGAAAACATACACTGAAAAACATGTGACACAAACATACAAGAAATAGGAATAGTTTAGCAGTTCCCTAACTTGAGATGCTGAATACTCACAAAGAACTATTTCAAGCAGAATAATGTAGAAATATTAGGAAAAGGTAGTATAGACTAAGCTTAACTCCCTAACCTATGTATACAAGATTAAAATTAATTGTACAAGCTTACCTGGGAACCTTCAATCAATCGCCAAACCAGAATCAGACCGTAAAATTACCTCTACGTCGACCTGTGTTTGTTTGCCAGCAGGCTGCGATGTGAATGAAATGAACTCCAGAGGCTCGAAGTATACTCTCTATCTGTCTGCAAGGTTAAACTCCTCCCCTTCTAGGTTCTAGCCAACCCTCCAGGAGATGACCTAAGCCACGCCTCTGAAGTACCTTGCAGATCAAATTAGCTAACAAGTGGCCTGTCACTCAAGGTGAACGGCCTTGACCGACGTTTGGACATCTTAATTGGCAAACACCTGTTCTCCAGAGAATTTCACTGTCAGGTGTAAAACTCCAGCCTCTTGTCGCCACCATGTCTAGAATTGTCTACCAGACCACTTAATTCCCCTGATCCGCTCTGTTCAAAAGAGCCCCACTCAGTCTGTGTTATGTAATCTTTATGACACTAAGGTCGGGTTCAGGGGAGCTAATCTCAGGTGTGATACTAAGTTATTTCCCCCTTTACTCGCATCTACAGTCTGTGGGCAGGAGATAATAATCTGACACAGGCTGGTGAATCTCTAGCTACAGTAGTGTTAGGTAATAATTACACAAGGCTCAGTCCTTTGTCTGGACTAAGGACTGGAAACATTTAAATCAATTTGGTTTAAAGTAATATTTGGGTAAAGGGCATAGTAAATAGATATCTTTAGAACTAGAAGAAGTTATTACAAGTACTAACTTCTGGAACCACTGAGGTCGTCTCGTGACACTTACACACACATGCACGCATGCGCACTCCCAACACACACACAGTATTTGAAATTTTCCAACATCATTGGTGTCCTACCACTATACATTTAGTCCCAAACAATTATTTTACATAAGAATAGACACACTAGGTGCAGAATATGTAGTTTAGATTATAATCTGATATTTTGGAGCAAACTGGAGGCAACAGCGGAGATAAAAAAAAAATATTAAATGTCGATTCAACATCTACCAAATTGAGATTTTTTCACACTAGGGTGCAAAAACTGACTATGATTTCACACTATAATGGATAAACTAGATGAGTACTTGAACATTTTGGAGCACACTGGTGGCAGAAAAAGAGAGATGAAAATAGGGAAAACATATTATGAAACATTCCCAACATCTTTTTAGTGTCCTGCCACTAAACAGTGAGTCCAAAACAATTATTTTACTCATGAATAAACACTCTAGACACAGAATAGATAATCTAGATGTATAATTTGTTTTTTCTGAGTAAACTCTTGGCAAAAATGGGGATAGCCAAAAATACCCAAAATTGAGATTTTTCCACAGACCTGCGCCTGTCGGAATTTGCCAAAACTTGACATTTTCTAAAAGTTAAAAAAATTTAGTCTCAAACTCATTTCAAGCATGAGTGGATAATCTAGGTGAGTAGTTGGACATTTTGGAGCCAATTGGTGGCAGACAAAATAAAGATTGGTAAAAAAATATTTTAAAATTTTTTTTTCTATGAAACTTTCTCAACAAGTGTTGGTAGAACTGGTGGTTCCTTGTGTGATTTATTTATGTGCATCTACTGATCTGTGTAACTGCCGCTTCCATCGAGGAACGACTGTATTTATTGTCTCAGAGTGTTTGTGTTGGCACTTCTCTTGGCTGCTTTATGCATTTAATATGTGTAAATGCAAATGAGTTTGCTGAGACTGCAGTTAGTGTCATTGTTTTCACAGGGGACTTTGATGGACATTTTGTATAATTTTCATTAGCACTGAAATGGAGCAGCTATCTGGTGACCCGCTTATTGCCTATTTTCTATAAAGTTGGAACTGTATTACCTTATTACCTGACTGTAATATATTTGCGGACACTGTTTATACCCCCCCTTCCATCCCCATCCCCCTAGTACCAAGCTGGAAAGGGAAATAAGAGCTTGTGATGTGCTATCGTGATTTCAGGTGTTGGAAATCCTCCCAGAGCCTGTTTAAGTAACAGGAGAATACAATTTCTAGATATTGATGTGCACTCACAGAAGCATAGGAATGAAGTGGAGATTAAGGAGTACACTAGATGGCGTTAAAATTAAAGGCTGTAGTGGCCACAATGTGAATGATGATATTGTTTCAGTGAAGGGAAAAAGGGTAGAGGGCTAGATGGCTGTGTATGTTGAATGCAAAGCAACATCGCCATGCCAGTAGGCAAGGCACTTGATGATGATGACGATAAAAGGAACAGTTTTTGTAATTGTCTGTTGGTGTTTAAAGGCAAGAGGATTGACCTCATTGCACCAGGTTTGATCCCATGCAGCTTAGTCTCTCTCTAGAGAGCAGCTGGTCACATGCGAGAGCACTGTCTAATCATCTGTTCTGTTTTATTGAAACATTTTGTGGCTTTCATATATTCTTGTGCTTCATTGTATTTGTTGCTGTCATGCTGAAACATGATTCTCTTGTGTTTCTGTTATCAGGAGGAGGCACTTGACTCAGAGACAGCCACAACGACAGCTGAACATAACCACACCCTCAGCACAGATGACACTGATTTTGTGTCCGATGAAGTCTTCAGTCTGTCAGTCTGTAATAGACCGCTAGTCAAGCCAATCCTCTCCATCATTCCTCCAGACTTTTTGGATTCCAGTGACGATAGTGAAGGTAACACTGGCTGCTTTATCTTTCCAAACAGGTTAGGGGGTCTCTGTGGAGAATGATCAAGCCATCTGCCGCATGCTCCGAAGGTTGTTGGTTCATTTCACCGACACAGTTTACTTGTGCAGTATTTACAAAGATCTCTGGGGATTGTAGCTGAAGCTGTGGAGTCCAGGCTTTATGTGGTGTTCTCAGCAGATGGCTAGCCATTTTGCAGAGAAACCAAGCTATGTGGGATAAGAGTACAATTAAGTTTATTCACTCCACTAATTAAACAACCTGCAATGCGCTGATGCTATTGTTTTGATTACTGAAATTAAAATACAACTACAACTAACTGTGTCTCAAAAGATTTTTTTAAAAAAAAAAACACAAGAAAGATTGTGGCTGGACATGACTACCAGTGCCACATGGTGTTGACTGAAGGAAAAGACTTTGTTTCTTTAAACCATGCTTTTCCTTAATAAATTTAAAAAACTGAGACACAATTAATGAAAACCCTTCAGTATGCGCAAGATGGGATACAACTAATTATGGTCCGCAATTAATTGTGAAATGTGTTGTTGGTGACCCCATTAAGGACCCTTTTCTATACCATTAGACATATTGGGCATATGATGTCAAACCTAAATTTTTAGACCAATGGGCATTCAGTGGGTGATGTGGTCAACATCACGATCAGTCACCTTTACTTCCCAGGACTTTACATGGTACCCGTTTTAGGCTGGGTCGACCTGGGAGCCAAGGTGATGTGAATTTACAACCTTTAGGCCAAAGGTGGGCCTCTAACCGCTACACAGTGGGGGACTCTTATGTCTGCATTATTGAAACCTAATGTTGTAATTGATGCTGGAATGTGGTAGAAATGGTGGTGAAGTGTGTGCCATTAGTGTTTGCATCTTTAAGTGATCAAATAGAGAGGAGAGGCTGAGTTAGTGAAGTTCAACCCAACCACATCAAGCGATAAACACCTGGTGACATAAACTGCCACAGGTCCCAGAAACTCTGTTCAACCCATAGGTTGGCTAATATTAAAGCTCCAGCAACACCCAGAGTGAGGCTTTAAAACAACAACACAATTGTGTCCGACATTAGGATGCACTTATATATCTAGAGGAGAGGCTGACTGAGCAGCGAGAATGCTGGGCTCTCATATGGATTACCTGCATTCGATCTTTGAAAAATGATGGACATTTTGTCTGTCAAAGCCTAAAATACAAATCCTAACGTGCACAATGCATGGCAGCTGCACCAGCCATGAAGTTGCAGAATCCACACACACACCTACACTGAGCTAAAGGTTACTTCATTACAGCTGTGGGGTGCCCCAGTAAACCTGATATATGATTGAACAGGGTTTCCAAGATTTCTAGGTGTTTGTTTCTGATCCTTGAGATGTCAGTCTTATGTTCTGCAGGCCTAGGAAAGGATAACTAATTGTCAGAGACTTAGGCTTACCACATCTACCGTCCCCAGCCATCCGCACAAGTACTTCCTGCCCCCCCACCCCCACCACCCACACATAGACGTTCACATACACACACACTCTCTCTCTCTCTCTATCTCCTCTTTCTCTCTCTCCTTCTTGGTAAATATAACCATAAATACAGTTTTCAGTTATTGGAGAGCTATTTTCAATGCTGAGAAGCACAAGCCTGTTCATATCAACCTGTGAACTATTTCCTACCATGTTCCTTGAGTTGAAAATATGTCACTGAGCTGGAATTTCATTGTTGAATTGCTGGTAATATTTGTTTCATTCCTGTAGGGGAGTATTTTTGTAACGGGCACAACCACCTGGAGAAGATGTACCTGGATGAGGTGTTCAGCATGAACATCGACACTGTCTTTGAGTGTCTCTTCACTGACTCGCTGTTCTTTCGTAACTTTGTGGCATCCAGAAAAACATTTGGTAGGTTGTTTGTTCTGAAGATTGTTTTTTGTTGTTGTTGACAGTTGTTTGTACTTTAGAGGGATTAGTTCCAACTTCTGTAGTTATAGTACTGTATCCTATCTTGTCTTTTATCATCTCAATATATGCATATATAATCCTATATCTGTAATCTTGTTTTTTTTAGTTCAAGAGATATATATATCTGCATGTATGTATGTGTGTGCATGTATATATATATATATATATATATATATATATATATATATATATAGAGAAAGAGAGAGAGACATTTTTTTTAGTTCCCAGCATATACACGTTTAGTCATGGGTAATTCTTTTTTTAAAGTTCAGAATATACATATGTCAAGTCCTACGTCTGTAATCTTATTTTGGTAGTTCCCAACATATACACAAGTAGTCCTGTGTCTGTAAACTTGTTTTTTTTTCGTTCTCAACATATAAACGTATAGTCCTATGTTAAGTTTATATCATGTTGTGATCACCTAGTTATCAGTAAACTGACGAACATACAAATATTTTCAGATTTAAGCTTAGGAAATTGGGAGGATGATCTGGATGACAATGGCAATAAGATCAGAATTATCACATACACGCTAACCCTGAACAATTCCATTGGTCCAAAAACATCTCCTTCAACAGAGAAGCAGGTAAGTTGACAGGCCTACTGATTGTATATCCATGTTTTAGTCTACAAAGTTGCATTTATCAGTTTTCTGGTCTACAAATTAGTGTTGTCATTGTCTCATTTTCTCCTTCTTATGACATAACCAAAGAATGTAGATTGTCTTCTTCTTCTCCTCCTCATTTATCTAAAAACAACATTTCTGCAGCTTCCAAAAAATATTCTCACTAGAATTATCTTTCACGTCTCAACTGACAAATAAATTGCATAGAATATTCTTCATTTTTATAAATGCTGCATTTGCTTAAGCTATTCTACATTTAACTTCTTTAATACATATTTCATCTGATGTTTTCTGGGTACCCAAGTACTTAAACATATCAACGTGCTTGAGGATTGTTCCATTAGCTTCGATATTGCATTTCATGGGGTCCGTTTTCTTTGTAATTACCATTACTATTGTTTTTCTGCTGTTTAGACTAAGAAATCCTATGTTGTCACTGTTGTAGCCTATGAGTTAGCTGTTCTAAATATTTTAGTTCCTGTGATGGCTTTTTTGTCTGTATCACACATGCATACGGCCTGGACTGTAATTCTTATACCTCACAATAACACAGTATGACAATGTTTTGGAAAGATAGAAAGCTCTCAAAAGGATAATTAGTTTTTGTATATGTTTTGATCTGAAAGGTCTTCGACAGACTTGACGTTAAACAGTTTGATGCTGCTGCAGTCTGCCCACAATAGTGAGATGTTAGCAAAACTGGCATTGTGAGAGTTTATTACCTGCATATGTGTGCTAGAGCTCTTCCTTGATATACATTACAGTCAGTGGATGTTTTACGTCATTCTTTCTGACAGTTACACAAGGATCTGTGATGTTTACAGAAAGCTACCTTGCCGTATCTTTCACACTAGGATTTATTGAAGTTACGGAAAGTTACCTGGCCATTTCTTTCAGATCTGCTACGCAATGAGTCGACCAGGACGAATCTACCATGTGGACTGTGAGTGCTGCAATGGTGGAATCCCCTATGCAGATTCCTTTTACGCAGTATTGAGGTATTGCCTGACCCGTGTGTCCCCGGTCAAGTGCCGGGTTGTAGTGACAGGCGAGGTCCGCTACAGGAAGCCTGTCATGGGCATGTTTAAGGGTGAGTGAGGTATTGTTGTTGTTCTCATAGATGTTGTAGTTCTCATAGATGTTGTAGTGCTCACAGATGTAGTTACAGGGGAGGTCTGGTACATTAAAGTCTGACATGAGCATGTTTGATCATGGGTGAAGTTGTTGTACTTCTAACAGATGTTGTAGCTCTAGTAGTTCTATATTTTAGTTCTCTTAGATGTTGTAGTTACAGGGAAAGTCTAGTACAAAAAACCTGTCATGGTCATGTTTATGTTAAGGAGTGAGCCTGCTTTTCACATCTGCCAGCAGTCTTATCGTCAACCTCACTCTGGCTCGCTGAGGTACCGTATGCCACACAGATACTGAGTTGCCTCCTCGTACCCCGTTCTCCTGGTACCCCGTTCTCCTCGTACCCCGTTCTCCTGGTACTTCATTCATGGCTCCATCTCAGCAGGAGCACAAGAGAAGTCAGCTGTCGTCTAGGGCCAGACCCCTGTGTGTTAGGTTGGGAATGTTGTTGTGGTTGTCGAAAATTTACTTTATTATATCGATGTTATTGTTGTGGGTGTAGAAAATGTTGCAGTCGTCATCAGTGTTTTAGTTATTGCTTTTTTAAATTGATATTGGAGTTGTTGAAAGTTTTGGTCAGGACAAATAGATATGTAGTTGTTGTCATTGTGAAAAGTTTTGAGTGATACTAGCCGATATGTAGATTTTGTGGATCTAGACAGCTTTAGCTGATGTAAATAGATTTTTCAACTAATGATTACCTTGTTGTAAATGTAGTTTTATCAAGTCATGAACATATTCTTCTTTTTTTCTTCTTCACGTTCACTGGCCATTAACTCTGGTGGAAAGTTCTGGTTATTCATCCACTTCTGCACTTTAGTCTTGTTCCAGATCTTGAGTTGTGTGTGCACATCTGTTTTACAGATCTGATTTATTTTGTATGCAGACTGTTGGTTCCTCACCTCTCAGGCAGATGCACTCTGACTTTGAAGGAAACCCCTAATTATTCAACTCTTATGATGTTGCTTGTCAGGGAGGCAGTGGGTCTCTTCTCCCCTCTCACTGTGAGGCCCTGAAACATGCCTTGAGAATTAACATATTGAAGTTTTGAGTAGATATGGTCAGTGAAACAGGTTGTGTGTAAAACAGGTTGTGTGAACACATCCCAGGTTGTAAACCTTATCTGTCATGTTTCTGTCACCAGGTATGATTGACAAGAGTGCTGTCAATGGTCTCACAGATTACTGTCGACAGTTGTGTAAGTTTACTGTCTCACATGATTCTTGATTTTGTATTTGTTAGTTTATCATTCATCATCCTCTTTGTTCCCTTTCAGATATCACTTTGTCTTACACTGTCATCTTTCACTACTTACTTGCTTCATCCATTATCATATTCCTCCACTTCTAATTTTATTTTCCTCAGTCTTTTCAAATTCTTCTCTGACATACTCCTTCATAGTCATATTTTGTTGTCACATTCCTTCACATTTGTTTCCACTGTCCCATTCTTTTAAATCTTTCCGCTTCATTCAGTTATTTAACATCACATTCTTTGTATGTGTGTTTGTGTGTGTTTGCATGTGTGTGTGTTTTTGATGTTGTTGTTGTTGACTATGTGTTCTTTTGTGTGCCCACTAGCTGTCCATCTGCGGAATGAAGCTCAGCGCCTAGAATCTATTGTTGTGGGACACCAGATGAGTGCTGCCAAGAAAAAGTTACGGAGAAAGCGGGTGAAAACTCACGCTGGGGTTTCTGAAGGAGGTGCTTCATCTCGACAGTCTTACACAGAGAGGCAGATGTCTACACCTCCTTCCCCATCCAAAGGTAAGTCAAAGGGTCGGGCAGTAAATCTTTGGGTGCTAGTCTCACGTGTGTTGTCACTCATTTTCTAAGCAACTTTTTTCTTTATGGCATTCATTTGTCTTATCATGTGTGGGGAAAAGCAAACTTTAGAGCAAAGTTAAAGTCGGTGGGAACTGTCTTCCAACATTCAAGCATGCTGAGAGAGACAGTAGACAGAAGCATGTCTTAGGAGCAGTGAAGTTGTTTCTACTTAGCTATTAAGTCACTTTAGTATTGTGAGTTGTATACATCCAGTTTCTGATATATCAACTTTGGTGCCCCTTACCTATTCATATGTGTGTATGCACACGCGTCCTGCTGTTTTTAATGTTTGTAGGTCAGTCGCAGCAAGAACAGTTTTCTAATGATGTCCTCATAGACGTGCCGGTTTTTTTTTGTGTAAGGAGGGGGAGGGGATTACAAACAGCTGGTATTGGGGATAGTGCTATGGGTGATTTATGTTCAAGCTGAGTGGTCTTGAGATATGGCATCCGCCTCGAGTGCTTAATGTCCCCAGGTTCAAACTCCGGTGAAGGCTGGGATTTTTTTGTGTAGACTTCTAGTAATTTTACTGGTCCCTAGGTAGCAATACCAGACGCCCATGTGTATTGTTGCACACATAGAAAATCCCTTGGCAGGTTAGAAATCGAAAAAAAAAGAGTAGCCTAACTTCGCTGGCAAAATTTAGAGTTAAAAATCTACCCAGAGTATTTCAGTGTCCTTGCCAGTGCAGCTGAGTTCGTGCACTGCACTGAAATTCTTCAGACTCAGGCTTGAGTTAGAAGTAGAGCAGAGCACTTATGGTTTACACCAGTGTGATGATGTTGATCCGTCAAATAAACAAACAAACAAACATGTTCAAGCAGATATGTGTATGTCTCTGTAAACTGTATGCTTCTATTGCTGCAGGTGTCCAAAGAGAGGATAGAGTCCTTGAACTAAATGCACATACCTTGGTTCGAATCATCAGTGTCATGTAAGTTCACTGTTTAGTCCATTGTATCATACCCCTTGTCTTTGTCATACCCTCACTTCTTAATTAGCATTGTGTCCAATATCATTATTAACTAACACTCATCATTATCATAACCATTTCATTAGTCTACTCATGATCATCATGTTAGTAGGTATGTGTCAGTGGTTGAGTAAAAGCGTCCGCTAGTATGCCTTCCTCCAAACCTGATGCCAAAACTGACAGTGACAGCAAGAGATAGAAGTTGAATTGTGAAACATGTGTAACCTCTGCCAAGAAAACTTTCTGTGATAAGGAGAAACAATCTCTCTCATGACGACATCAAGAAGCAAGCAAACAGGCATAATGTCAGCCACAACAGACAGTTTGGTCATGATACCAGACCCCCCCCCCCCCCCACAAACAGCCATCCACAAACAGTATTGACGTTTAGATGCAACAGAAAGAGGGCAGGATTCATTCTATATATCTATGAGTGATTTATGATCAGACAGCAAAGGCAGCATACACCACTTGCTTTGACCAAGGTGAATTTGACATTTATGTCACCGTCATAAGTCCTGCCCTAGCAGTCACACCACCAATCTTTCCTTGGAAAATTGTGTCATTCAAAAGTTAGGTATTCTCAGCCTGTTAGTGATAAGTGTTTAACATTTTTTTCTTCTAACATACACACAACTTTTTTGTTCCTTTGATTTTGTTCAGTTTCTGAACACCCCTTCCTATTTCTGTTTTTGTTTTTAGAAATTGTTTCTGTCACCATGTACATTACCTGTCTGTGATTATTTTTATTCATTGTGATGGTATAGGATTCAAACTGTTGTTTACCACTTTAGTAGACTTAGACTTAGTCTTAGTCGAGGTTTTAACTTCACTGCAATTGGGTCATCCTATACTTGCTTCATTCCTGTGCCAGTGAAAATCAAATGTCCCTCACTGTCCTTTCTGAAAAAGAGGTGAACAAACAATTAGTCCTGGCACAATCCAGAAATATGCTTAGCAAGTAAATGCATATGGCAGTTGTTAGAGGCGCCAAAGCCAACAGTCGCCACCAGATATGTAGTTTGTCGATAATGGAAGTAGTCTGTCAAAATAAGTTGGCTTCACACTTGTAAAGTTATTACATAAGGTAATTTGGCAGCCCACACATAAACCAAGTACCGGCCATATTGAATACCAGCACTCAGCCGCTGCTCTAAGGAAAGACATTCTACATTAAAAACACAGCTCACAGTGCTGCACCAAGCACTAAACTCAATAGCTCAGGCAGTGGAACCATAGATTTCCATCCATATGTGGAAACTGCATTAGCAAAGCACTGTCGGAAGCAAAAGTAACTTCAAAGCTAAACATTCTGTCATGCCTGGTACTCCGTATTGCACTGGAAGTCCTACTTTAGTAGAGATGTTTGGTTGTATCTGGGCACATCTTTTGCTTTTATTTTTTGCATCTTCTTGATCATATTTTGGGTTGTGTTTATTTACTTTCCCTCATAGTAGCATTTAAAAAAAATTTCTGTGTTATGTTGTTTGATGTTTCTCCCACACAACAAACTTGTTTAAAAAACTTGTGTTTATTTGATCCCCTCTCCTTTTCCACACATATATACACGCACAAACATGCGCACGCACGCACGCACGCACACACACACACACACACACACACACATGCACGCACGCACGCACGCACGCACACCACACACACACACACACACACACACACACACACAGACACACACACACACACACAAAAAAGACTGTGTTTTGTTCATTTAGTTTCCCCCTATACTGCATACTTTTTTAAAACTCAACCTAGCCTAATACTGAAATTCAAATAATAGTGTTCTACAGAAGGACATTAAATAAAGCAATCACCTTTTATATAGAGCTCTCTCCCTGTGAACCTGCCATGGATGTATTCTTCAGTGTTAGCTGTGTTGATTTTTGCAGACTAGTGCTACTCTTCCTGTTCAACACTGTGCTTTTCTACAAGCTGTGGTCCCTGGAAACTTACGCAAGCTCCTTGTTTGGCACTCCCATGTCAGAATCTATGGGAAACACAGGGTAAGTATATCGTCTTCTGTAAGAATGTGTGGGTAATTTCAAGTACATTATGTTATCCTTGTCAGTTTGTATAGGAAACCTAGGGTGACTACTGTGTATCTCTGAAAATGAAAAAAAATTTTTAAATTAATTTTTGTAGCAAAAGATACCTTAGAGATTATTTTCAAGGATGCCTTATCGTATTTTCATGTGCAAAAAAAAAAAAAAAAAAAAAACGACTTTCATATTATCATTTATTTCAAGCAGTCATATTTTTAATGTTTGTTTATTTACACCTTCATTACTTACGTACAGCAGATGGACAGAATCCATCAGCCAGGCTGGTGTTCTTGACTAGAGCTTATATTTAGACTGGGGCTCATATTACTGGCATCCTGACAAATGATACTAATGCTTCTTTTTAGGTTACAGCTTATTTTTGGGGGAACACTATATTTTTCTATGTCAGAATCTGTGGGCAAATTTAGATGCATTACATTTCCTACGTCATAAGGGAAGGGAACAAGTGAATAATAATGAAATGTCCCTACTGTCTGAAGATTGTCAGTTTTGATATCCTGAAATATCTGAAGATGTCTTAGCATAAATATTGTCCTGTCATGTTGTTTGAATGATATTCTCACTTGAATGTCTGTGTCCAGAGGTAGTCCTGTTGTGACTGTCATCTTGTTTCTGTAATCTTGCTGTGACTGTCCTGTCATTTCTGTAGTCTTAATGTGACTTTCTGCCATTTCTTTAGTCCTGACGTAACTATCCTGTTATTCTTATAGCTCTGATGTGACTGTCCTGTCTTTTCTGTAGTCTTAGTGTGACTTCCTGCTATTTCTGTAGTCATGATGTAACTATCCTGTTATTCTTATAGCTCTGATGTGACTGTCCTGTCTTTTCTGTAAACCTCTAGTAACTTTCTTCCACTCCCAGCTGAATAGCTGCAGTACAGAATGATCTTTACTGTGAATTGTTGTGACAGGAAGTTGCCGCGGAGTCAGGAGGAGTGGAACCAACTGCTGCAGCAACAAAAGAACATACATGAGGTTGAGGTGAAGAAGTGGCAAGAGGTGATGTCAGCAACTATACGTCTGGTGGAACAGGTAGGTTTTCAGCCAACTCCTCCAGCACTTCAACTGGGTCATTGTTGTCTGATCTGTGTTAACATGTGTACCCTAAGGAGAGATATGGTTTTTATAAAAGAATGATGAGAACACCATGAGTAATTTAAAAAAATGTATTGAAGTCTGGGAAGAAAATGATTCACAAAGAGATTACTTGCATCAGAAGGAGACAATCCACATTCTTTAGTCTCACATTTTGCGAAGGGGAAAACTGAAGGAGGGAAATACACATGTGATAATTGGAAAGTTTGAGGGAAAGAGAGACAGGGAGGAACAAGAAACAGTCTGAAGCCTCCACTGCAACTTCTTTGGAGATGGTCCTAGCTAGTCTACATTGATGTTGTAGTGTATCTTAGGCTGAGGGCTGTTTACCACTTTCCCACACGCTATCCACTTCCTCTCAGTATCACTCTTAGGGAAGTTTCCCACTGTCCCTCTCTGTCTTACATCACTAACTTCCTCTAGTGACAACTGTCAGTGAAGTTACCACTGTCCCTTTCTATCTTACCTCAATAACTTCCTCTAGTGACAACTGTCAGTGAAGTTTGCCACTGTCTGTCTTTGTCTTACGTCACTAACTTTCTCTAGTGATAACTGTCAGTGAAGTTTCACACTGTCCCTCTCTTTCTTACCTCACTAACTTCCTCTAGTGACAACTGTCAGTGAAGTTACCACTGTCCCTTTCTATCTTACCTCAATAACTATCTCTAGTGACAACTGTCAGTGAAGTTTGCTGCGGTCTGTCTTTGTCTTACGTCACTAACTTTCTGTAGTGATAACTGTCAGTGAAGTTTCCCACTGTCCATCTCTGTCTTACCTTGAGGTAACATCCTCTAGTAATAAGTGTGTGTGAAGTTGCCACTGTCTTACCTCATTAACTTCCTTTACAAATAATAATTGTCAGTGAAGTTTGCCACTGTCCGTCTCATGTCTTACCTCATTAACTTCTCTATATGACCATATGTGATACTTCCTCTAGTGATAAGTGTCTGTGAAGCTATTGAGATAAACAGTGTAAAAAAAAAAAAAGAGTAAGTGTGATTTCTATATTTTAGTTATGTGGATTCTTGTTTTGAGCTTCATTATGTCTTGATGTAGATGTGTAGTAATACACCCAACAAAATGCTGTGAAATATGCCAAGCAATAAATGGTGATAAATATTGTTTGTGTCCTCCATGTTTAAATTATAATTTTTGTGCGTTGTGTCCGTGATGCCTGTGATATCAACTACTGTACAATATATTCTGACAGATGAAGGCCTCCCTGTTTAGTCTCCAGCAATCCCTGCGAACCAGCTCACAGACCGAGGATAGATCCTGACACCAGCAACCTGCTGCCGGCCATCTCTCCCACACTCCTTCTCTACACAAGTTTATTTATTTTCATTTACAACATATCATGTTTTTGTACAGTTGTTTTCAGCTGCTTATGTGTTTTATGTACAGTTATTTGATGCTTGTTTTGTTTTTGTACAGTTAAGTTAGAGACTACCATTCCTGCATCAGTCTCAGTTATAAAATAGCATTCCAGGGTAACTATATATTATAAGGTATGTTTTTTGTGAAGCTAAGTTACAATGTATCATCTCATTGTAGGATTCAGTTAGCAGCTAATCATCTCATTGTAAGTTACAGTGAATAACAAATCATCTCATTGTAAGTTACAGTGAATAACAAATCATCTCATTGTAAGTTACAGTGAATAACAAATCATCTCATTATTTTTTGTTTTTTTAACATAACAGATAATTTCATATGGTCTTCGGTTAACAACAGATCATCTCATTGTAGGCTTTAGTTAAAAACAGATCATCTCATTTCAAGTTTCAGTTAGCAACAAATCATCTAATTGTTAGTATCAGTTTTGACATGTCTCTAAGTTTTAGTTACAACACATCATTATGCTATGACTGTGAGCTACAAGATATTCTGTTATCAAATTCTGGTACGTTATATAAATCTCCAGTCCGCCACTGCTGATCTTGGAAGAGATGTGTATACTGTTCTCAGATTTCATGTTTACCATGTTGAAGAGACTGAATCCTGTTAATATCTTCAGGTGAATGTGATGACAGTATGTTTAGCTGGTTTAAATATGCACCTCACCAAGTGTACTGATGATGTTACTTGGCTATAAATGTAAAACCAAAGTGAATAACACTTCATGTAAGAGAGGTTTCATTCAAAAGGTTCTGGAAAGTCCTTGTCTCTGGGTGTTGTACTGTACTGAGATGCTCCACCTTTGGCAGAAATAGTTAATGTTCTGTCTGTCTAGGCCAGTGATTCCCAAAATGTGCGCCGGGGCGCCCGGGGAGTCGAGTCGTCTTTACTCTGACGTCGTGAAATTTTGTAAAAGCTTCATAATTAATTTAACCAAGACATGAATAGTCATACTTTTACTTAGGTTAGGGCGCTGTGGAAACATTTTAATTGAAAAAAAAGGCGCTGCGACCAAGAAAAATTTGGGAGACCCTGGTCTAGGCTCTCTCATATAATCTGTTCATCACCTCCTTGAACCTACCAGAAAGCAGGATGGTATATCTGCTGAGGTGTCCTGTCCCCATGGTGTGAGCTTATTCTTGATCTTGTGTTGGCATGATGCCATCCTGTCATGACGTGAGAGATTCAGTGGCAGTGGTAGCACCAGCTGTTATTCTGTCCCCTTATCTTGAGACAGTTACCACAGTTTGGTTTTTGAACAGCTCATTTGCACAGGGAAATTATGGCCTATTGTTGTGTTAGTGTAACTAGTTTATTCCATGTTACATCAGGCTCAGTCAATACCAGTAGTCATTTGTGATCCCACCTGGGGGACTGCAGGTGACTTGGAAACTATAGGCTGCAGTAAATTAACCTTCATACCATTCTTCTTCATCTTTTGTTTGCTTGAAATAGATTATCTATATCTGCAGTATTGTCTCTAGTGTGAACTTCATCATCTTTTATAATTCACTTGGCGAGAGATAAATGTTGGCTTCAACCAGTGTTTCTCTTTTTCATACAGTTAAACGGGTATCTGGATTTGCCTCTTGTTAGATTCTCATCTCGAAAGTGGCTCTTTGAGTCAGTCAGGCGGCATCCCCAGCTGTAACAACTACATCATCATATATTTATGCAGTAAGAAGTGTTAACATTAGTGGGACACTTTTTTGTGTCCTGGGATGTCTTATACTCACAAATAATGTATACAGCTTCCACAGCCAAAGCCAACAGTTGTGGGCCATTATTTGAGTCACCGAAATATCTTATATACATATATTATGTAGAGCTACCACAACCATAGCCAACAGTTGTAGGCCATTCTTTGAGTCACCGGAATATCTTATATACACATATAATGTAGAGCTACCACAACCATAGCCAACGGTTGTAGTCCATTCTTTGAGTCACCGGAAATATCTTATATACATATATTATGTATAGCTTCCACAACCATAGCCAACATTTGTGGGCCATTCTTTGAGTCACCGGAATATCTTATATACACATATTATGTATAGCTACCACAACCATAGCCAACAGTTGTGGGCCATTCTTTGAGTCATTGGGATATCTTTTATACACATATTATTTACATGGCTTCCACAGCCATATTCAGCAAGAGTGGGCCACTCTGTAGGTCACTGAGACAACTGCAAAGGGCAGCACCTTCTTTAGAATGGTTGTGGGCTGAGAAGGGCAGACAGCTCAGCAGCTTTGGAATCAGAAATAGTAGGGATGTTCAGGGCTTTTTCTTTGCTGGTACTTTGCAGTACTGGCACCTTTTATTTTAAAATCAGGCATCAGTTTTTCCATGCTGCTGTAATAGACACTGTGTGCTGAGTACCAGCAACTGTTAAACACTGTGTGCTGAGTACCAGCAACTTGCTAGACACTGTGTGCTACCAGCAACTTGTTAGACACTGTGTGCTGAGTACCAGCAACTTGTTAGACACTGTGTGCTGAGTACCAGCAACTGTTAAACACTGTGTGCTGAGTACCAGCAACTTGTTAGACACTTTGTGCTGAGTACTAGCAACTTACACTTGTTAGACACTGTGTGCTGAGTACCAGCAACTTGTAAGACACTTTGTGCTGAGTACTAGCAACTTGTTAGACACTGTGTGCTGAGTACCAGCAACTTGTTAGACACTGTGTGCTGAGTACCAGCAACTTGTTAGACACTGTGTGCTGAGTACCAGCAACTTGTTAGACACTGTGTGCTGAGTACCAGCAACTTGTTAGACACTGTGTGCTGAGTACCAGCAACTGTTAAACACTGTGTGCTGAGTACAGCAACTTGTTAGACACTGTGTGCTCAGTACCAGCAACTTGTTAGACACTGTGTGCTGAGTACCAGCAACTTGTTAGACACTTTGTGCTGAGTACTAGCAACTTGTTAGACACTATGTGCTGAGTACCAGCAACTTGTTAGACACTTTGTGCTGAGTACTAGCAACTTGTTAGACACTGTGTGCTGAGTACCAGCAACTTGTTAGACACTGTGTGCTGAGTACCAGCAACTTGTTAGACACTGTGTGCTGAGTACCAGCAACTTGTTAGACACTGTGTGCTGAGTACCAGCACTTGTTAGACACTTTGTGCTGAGTACCAGCAACTGTTAAACACTTTGTGGGTAGTTCTGGAACTTGTTTCTAGAAAAAAACAACCTGATGACATGTTTATTAAATTGATAATCAGTTTCAAGAGAGAGTTATAATTACTGTTCGTCATCATTGATGTCACTTGTGAAGATGACAAAGGACATTACAAAAACATCATGCATGTAAAACTGATTGTAATGTGTGTGTGTGATCCAGCTGTTACCATCGACCTCATTCTCCTCTTTCGCACTTCACGGAGCATGAGGTTACTACTAAAGCTGGTGAACTTGCATGAAGCAAGTGCAGCCTAATGTGGAACCTCAGTTTGCTAATCCTACATGGGGAACAGCTTTACTCTTCCTTTGCTACACATGATAAACAAATGTGTATGTATTGATCGGCACTCCTAGAGCTTCCATTCAGCACATTGCAATGGGTAGTATTGGCTGTTTATCATACTACTTTATCCCCATGTGGGTTGTGGAACCTCATTTTGGAATAGATCCACTGCACCCCCAACAAATATGTCATACAAGTAGACTAATTACACATTTGAAGGAAATACAAAACCAAAAGCCAGATCTGTAAAATGGATGTGCATGCAGTACTCAGTTCTGGAACAAGAGCTAAGTCTTGAAGTGGACAAAAAACCAGACTTTGTGTTCCGACTGTTGGTTCCATGCTTTTCAGACAGATGCACTGTGACTTTAAAAAAAGCCAATTAGTCCATTCTTTGCACATGCTTGTAAGAGAGACATGGGTTTATTCTTGTTGTTCCCACAATGGTGCCCCAGAATCCACACAGGAAGTATCACATATGAAAACCAGTCAATGGGCAACTGCTGTCTCCTGCCAGTAAATTAGTCATTATACAGTTGGTATCTTCACCCAGTACCTACTAGTGAATCACTGGACAGTTAGTATCTTCACTGAGTACATTCTATTCAATCACTTGACATTTGTTATCTTCTCCCAATACATGCTTCTCAGTCACAAGACATTTGGTATTTTCGCAGAGTGCATGCTGATCAGTCACTGGACAGTTATTATCTTCACCCAGTGCATTCTAGTCAATCACTGGACAGTTGGTATCTTTATCCAGTGCATTTTAGTCAATCACTGGACAGTTGGTATCTTCACCCTGTACCTGCTAGTCAATCACTGGACAGTTGGTATCTTCACCCTGTACCTGCTAGTCAATCACTGGATGGTTGGTATCTCTACTAAGTACATTCTAGTCAATCACTGGACAGTTGGTATCTTCACCCTGTACCTGCTAGTCAATCACTGGACAGTTGGTATCTTCACCCTGTACCTGCTAGTCAATCACTGGACAGTTGGTATCTTCACCCTGTACCTGCTAGTCAATCACTGGACAGTTGGTATCTCTACTAAGTACATTCTAGTCAATCACTGGACAGTTTGTATCTTCACCCAGTGCATTCTAGTCATTCACTGGACAGTTGCCATCTTTACCCAGTACCTGCTAGTCAGTCACTGGACAGTTGGTAACTTCACCCAGTATTTGCTAGTCACTCACAGGACAGTTGGTATCTTCACCCAGTATTTGCTAGTCACTCACTGGACAGTTGGTATCTTCTCCCAGTAAATGCTTGTCAGTCACTGGATAGTTGGTATTTTTTCACCCAGTGCATGCTGATCAATCACTGGACATTTGGTATCGTCACCCAGTACATTAGAGTCAGTCACTGGACAGTTGTATCATCACCCACTACATTCTAGTCTATGGTGGAAATGGAAAGTAGGATTCAGGCTTTTGAATGTAAATGCTATAGATCAGATCTGCCCATGTAACTGGGCATAGGAAACTTTGGGTCATGAAAATGTGAGAACATAGAGATGGAATGAACATACTGGTGACTAGAACATATAGTTGGTTAGAAAATATGGATGAATGGCACATACAGGTGACTGGAACGTACAGTTGATTAGTAAGAATGGGTGACTTGAACACACAGGTGACTGGAACATACAGTTGATTAGAAAATATGGGTGACTGAAACATACAGTTGATTAGAAAATGTGGGTGACTGAAACATACAGGTGACTGGAATGTATAGTTGATTAGAAAATATTGGTGACTGGAACATACAGTTGATTAGAAAATATGGGTGACTGGAACTTACTGGTGACTGGCTCATAACAGTTGATTAGAAAATATTGGGTGACTGGAGCATGCGGGTGACTAGAACAATGCAGGTGACTGGGGCATAAAGGTAACTAGAAAATATGGGTGACTAGAAAATAGGGTGACTAGAAAATACAGGTGATTGATACCTGTTCTCACTGAGACTCTCTGATTGACAGCATGGAGAACCCTCCTGCCTTGGGAGCTGTTTCAATTGAATCATGGGTTACCATAGGACTGTAATTTACTGTGTGCCTGGAGAGAGAGATTTCACATGAGCATCCCTATGTACTACACACAGTCTTGTGTGTAAGTGTT